CAGGAAGAATCTCAAAGCAACAATTGTTGTAGAGCCATAGTATCTGCTTTGTGTGTAGAAGATCTTTCATTTAATCCCTGCCATCTGTAGATTAGGCTAGTAGTGATAACGGTCTGAAGGTGTGGAGAGCCATTGCCAGTCACTATGGAGCTAGGCCACACTCACATTTAAATCACTGTGGTACCACTTTAATCAGCCGCTACTTCCCTCAAAGCATTCTGGGAGCTGTAGCTTGTTCGGGACACAGAGAGTTGCTGTGAGTGTTGAGATTTCTATTCCACCTCAATGAGCAGACGTGTGGAACTGTTGCGTCACATGTCTGTTTACATTCCAGCACAGTTTGCTGGGAACTTCCATTGTGTTTATAGCTTTTGCTTTTCCTGTTCTCTCTGAAAAGACGAAGAGAGAGACATGTTTCTTTGTCCTGATTTATGATTGATAAATCAGTAGTTGTAGTATGCTTTGACAAGCCTCAGGCCTATTCTGTGTGTGCAGTGAGATCTGCTGATCGTGTGCCCTGGCTTTGAAGCCCGGGTCTCTGATTTACATCGGAGCAGAGGCCGATGGTCTTCTTAGCAGGATGGCTGGAAGGAGACGGCCCAGCTGGGGCTAGCCAGCTGGCCTCCCTGCCCTCTGCGTGTCAACAGTGAGAACCCTATTTCCTTTGGAGAGCTACAATTCTCAGAGTTCCCTGGGAAGAGGGGATGATTGATAAACCCCTCTAGGGTCTCTCAGATGGCTGAATAATGTTGATATAGGACAACTCAGAACTTTGGCAAAGAACAAGAGCTATAAGGTGCTTCCAAACCTTTAAAAACAAAACAAAAGCCAACCACCTTTATTGAAGCATTCAGCAAAATATAACAACAGAAAGAAACACAAACTGTGATTCCAAAGCTCACTAATCAGTCTGGAACTTTGGGTAGAATTAATTTGCAAAATAGGATGTCGGTGAGTTTTTTGTTTTTTTTAGTCTTCTTTGAAAAATTACATTAATGCCTGGGAAGTGATTAGAACATCTGGCATCATAAATATCTGGGTCGTCACATATGAAGTGGCCCTGGCAGTGTTGAAAGAATGGTTAATTGTGACTTTCCCACGGGAGATTATAGGTGGGAGACCCTTGGTGGGCCCTGTCAATCCGGGATCAGCTTCATCGGGCACCAGACCAATTAAACTAATTACAGCCTCCCCTTGGGTGGCTGAAAGCCTCGTGCCTTACGAAGATGGACAGATGCCAGCGAATTTGTGCATCCTGCCATCGGCCCCATAGAGGTCTGTCTGGACAGGTTTGGTGAAGTGTGACAGCCACCTGCTCTCGTCTTAAAAACAAACCCTCTGATCTGAGATAAGAGATTTGGGGGCTGCGGTGGGATAACTCGGTGAAAACTTTGATTCAGTATGCAGTACCTGTGAGAAAGGTGGATTTCATGCTAGAGATTGTTAGGAAAGAAGAAAATAAAGTTGGGCCTATCACTAGGAATAGTGAGCACGGTCCTGATCACTGCACCGCAAAAGAGATGACAGGGAAGGGAAATGTGCAGAAAAGGGAATCAGATTTTTTATAAAATAAAATAAAATACAGTCGTACTTTGGATCTCAAATGCCTTGGCTCCCAAACAATCAAAACCTGGAAGTGAATGTTCCGGTTTTTGAACATTCTTTTAGAAGCCGAACATCTGATGGGGCTTCCACAGCTTCGAATTGGCTGCAGGAGTTTACTGCAGCCAAACAGAAGCTGTGCTTTGGTTTCTGAATGTTTTGGAAGTCGAACGGACATCTGGAACGGATTCCGTTAGACTCCCAAGGTATGACTGTAAAAATAATAATAATAATGTATTTATACCTCTCCCACCATGTGCCCCATACCTTCTTAAATCTCTGCTCTGGAGGGCTGGTTGGGGGGAACCCAAAACAGATTTAAGGGGCACACAGGAGGAGGAGATGGGCAAGTTCCATTTCACTCATAATCATCATAATAATTTGTGCAAGTGGAAATCCTTGCTCTGATGGAAGGAGTTATCTAGCACTACATTGGATACAAGCCAATGAAATTAGTTTTGTCAAGCAAAACCCACCTGTTAAAGTTGGCCAATGGTGTGAGGAGATCAGGATCTGGACCACTCTGGGCCAAAATGGTTCCTGACCTCTTTTTTAAGGTCTTCAAGCTGGGGGAGGAGAGGGAATCTGGGCTCTGCTTCAGGCATACAAATGTATTGAGCTATCATGGATGAGTTGGGTGACCCTGTTTTTGATCTCCACAGGAAGACGGTTGGCGTTTTCTGTTGCGGACCCAGTGGAATCTCGAAAGCCCTCCACAAACTGAGCAACAGCAGCAACCCCTATGGGACGAGGTTTGAATACAACAAAGAGTCCTTCAGCTGAAAGCCCCCGGGGCTTAATAGGGACTGTTTGGAAGGCCTGAGTGCAATTGAAAAGACTTCGAAAACGAGCGGCAGTGTTAGCCTGAGGTCGCATACCAAAGAGTAGCCAAAGTCTTTCGTCTGTGCATTTGTGTGTGTGTGTAATTTATAACTATTTAAAACTCTAGAAAGGCAAAGAAACAAAACGAAATACGCTCTAGCACGAAAGCCAAAATACCTTAGGAGTTGGCCGTTCATCTTTACAGAGGGCCTGAATTAGCTGAAGGCGATTAGAGACGCATAGGGTAGCTTATATGGCTGGCTTTAAGATCAATCTGTGCATTATTTGAAGTTTCTCCACCTCAGGGCAGCAAGCCCTAGAAAGGGGCACTAGATTGATCAGGCTGAGGGGGGTGGGAAATGTATTGGAAGCAAAATGCTGCTCTGCACTGGCAAATAAATAAAGCGATTTTGAAACGGAAAGGCTTTGAGCAAAATTGTTGCAGGATTAATAGCCGAGGTAAAAGGTTCTGCAAGGTCCATGGGGGATCCCCCTCCTGCATATAGTTTGTAGGGAACAGATCACACCTGCTATATATGCAGACACTCGCTCCAATACTCTGTTTATTCTGCGCTCCACGAGACTGAATACCTCTGTACACATTATGCTTTTCCACGTCTCCTGCGGTTTGAATGTTCACCTGTATCACAACAGATCCTCTGATAAGGATCAATTAATGGCTGAAACTGCCATGGCGGGCACCTCGCGGGGAAGGAAGACCCTAGCAAAGGGATTTCCAGTGGGTCCCTATGCAAGGGTTTTCGTACATAATGCAAATTAAATCACAATCGCAAAAATTGCAACCTAACAGTTAACACAGGAGTATTGTCCCTTCACCCAAGTTCTGTCTCTTAAACTGGCCCTGGCAGGGTCTTCCCCAAGACCTCGTTTCCATTGTGCTGTTCCAGGAAAAGTAATTGCAAGCCCTTATAAAACACAGAAACACCATAAAGAGACAGAAACTTAACGGTTTTGAGGAATGACACACATCATTTCAAATGCATATACAAAATAGTGTCACCCCTGTCCTGTTTCAAAGTGTTCAGGGCCTGCAGAAAGGAGAAAACAAGCACCACCCCAACTGTGATGAGGTCATGGTAAAGGTAAAAAAGGTAAAGGATCCCTGGATGGTTAAGTCCAGTCAAAGGCGACTATGGGGTTGCGGCATTCATCTCGCTTTCAGGCCGAGGGAACCGGCTTTTGTCCACAGACAGCTTTCGGGGTCATGTGGCCAGCATGACTAAACCGCTTCTGGCGCAACGGGACACTGTGATGGAAACCAGAGCGCACGGAAATGCAGTTTACCTTCCTGCTGCAGTGGTACCTATTTATCTACTTGCACTGGTGTGCTTTCAAACTGCTAGGTTGGCAGAAGCTGGGACAGAGCAATGGGAGCTCACTCCTTTGTCTGGATCTGAACTGCCAACCTTCTGATCGGCAAGCCCAAGAGGCTCAGTGGTTTAGACCACAGCGCCACCCGCACCCCCTCGATGCGGTCATATAAGCTGTTTGCCCATAATGGTCGCTTTCCTACTGAACATGTGCAGCATTATTAAAGTTAGCCAGTCGGGTGCAGTGGTTTGAATATCAGAGAAGGACCTGGGAGACCAGGGCGCAAATCCCCACTTGGCCATGCAGCTCCCTGGGTGACCCTGGGCCTGTCGATGATTCTCAGGCTAACTTGTCTCACAGTGTTGTTGTGGGGATTCAGTGAGGAAGAGGTGAGCTATGTACCCCACTTTGAGCTCCTTGGAGATAAAAGTGGGATATAAGTTCAATAAATGAATGAATGCAGCAGTAGACTACATGGGGCACCCGGGAAGGCTGAAGTGATGAGATGATATATAGGAGAGAATAAAGGATGCTGGCAAACACCCCTTGGTTATTTCAAAAGTAAGGTATGCAAATAATAATAATAATAATAATAATAATAAATAATGTGTTCCCACCTTTGAGAATTTCAGGGGGGGAATCTCTTTGATAATTTTTTGCATGCATTTTTAAACATGTTGATAAATGCAAGCGTCGTTGCACAGAACTGTTTGTTCTGTGCACGCAATGACATTTAAAGCTTTGTAGATTCCACCAATATTGGGGAAAATGTAATTACATTCCAGTGTTCCTGTTGCAAAAAACAACTTCCCACCTCTAGTTCTTAAATCTACACCTTTTGCTTGGTGATTTGTATTATTCCTGCTGGGTGGAGAAGCCCTGGAGCCACAGGTAAATTGTGTCATAACACATTTATCAAATGACAGAAGAAGCCACAGAAGAATTCAGGAAGTCGGAAAGGTATGGGAGGATGTTAATATTGATCAATATACTGCTGAACAGGAAGAGAGGCCTCCTGATTTATCATCTGTGCTTGTGTAAGAAATGCAAGAGGGGGAGGGTGTGATTTTTAACAGAGCAACCAGTGCTTTGAGCAGACACCTACCACGAGTGGTCTGACCTCACTTCGGTTCTTCGAAGAGTTCTGCATCCCTGACTTTCCAGGAGAGGTACTTTGTCACACTGTACGCTGTTAAACTCTGGCATCTGCAGCCACAATGTATACTGATGCAAATCAATGTGGATGGCTAAAACCTAGCTCAATTGGTTAGAGCATGGTGTTGATAACGCCAAGGTTGCAGGTTCGATCACCATATTAGACAACTTCATATTCAGGGTCCTTTCCAACTGTACAATTCAGAGGTTAAACAAATGGTTGGAGGATAAGGCTCTCAGTGGCTGCTCACCAAGAAGGTTATGTAGTACCTCCACTGTCAGAGACAGTATACCTTACTATATCAGTTGCTGGAAATTATGGGAAGAGGACTGTTGCATCTGGTTGGGCACTGTGAGAATCAGTGACTTCCCTTCTTCTCTTTCCATGGTTCATTTTGCATAACATAAATCCCTGCATATTTTATATAAAGTAAAACGTTCAGTAACCCCATTGTTACTTCCATCAAAACTTATTTACACTGATGAATTTATCTTAATGCTGCCAGCGTTTCCAAGTGTACACAATTACCCCCCCCATATATTCAATAAACATTTTCCAATCTTCTTTAAACGAATGTTCTTCCTGTCCTCTTATTCTATAAGTTAGATCCGCAAGCTGTGCATATTCCAATAGTTTAAGTTGCCATTCTTCTTTGGTTGGGACCTCGCTTGTTTTCCTTTTTGGGGCTAACTAAACATGGCCCTAAGGGATGCGGGTGGCGCTGTGGGTTAAACCACTGAGCCTAGGACTTGCCAATCAGAAGGTCAGCGGTTTGAATCCCCGCGACAGGGTGAGCTCCCGTTGCTCAGTCCCTGCTCCTGCCAACCTAGCAGTTCAAAAGCATCTCAAAGTGCAAGTAGATAAATGGGTACCACTCTGGCGGGAAGGTAAACGACGTTTCTGTGCACTGCTCTGGTTTGCCAGAAGCAGCTTAGTCATGCTGGCCACATGACCCGGAAGCTGTACGCCGGCTCCCTCGGCCAGTAGAGCGAGATGAGCACCGCAACCGCAAGTCAGTCACGACTGGACATAAGGGTCAGGGGTCCCTTTACCTTCACCTAAACATGGCCCTGATCCAGCAGACTCATCTTATGAACTTATGCTCATTGATCCCATCTCCTGGACCAACCTTACCTGTGGTAGGACCAAGACCAAGGACTGGACCAACACTGTGGATGGAAAGAACTCCATTCTGGAGAGCCAGTGAAAAGCCCATAAGCAGCGCCTGAGCACAACAGAACTTTGCCCTCCTGTTGTTCCCAGAAACTGGCATTCAGAAGCACACTGCCTCCGACAATGGAGGTATAACACAACCACCAGGGTTAGCAGCTACTGATAAGTCTTCGCATGCACATCTCATCACATTCAACAGGGACTGAATGAGCATCATGATGTGCCTCTGTGTTGCATCGACTGGTGCACACTTTGCTGGGCTGGGTGTGAGGTGAATATCTATCTGGGAAAGAACATGACTGATGCCAACTCGCTGTGCCTGCCTGCATTAAGCATCTGCATTTGGCTTTTGAATGTCACTGCCTTCTTAACTCCTTTGTCGCCAGTTATGTAAAGCAGTTCTCTGAGTGTAAACGGACCTGACGGTTTGATAAATAAATATTGGGCTATTTGTTTGCTGACCCCAGGTAAGGACAAGTTGGAAGGCGAGAAGTGGAGTTACATAAATGTCTGGTGTACATTGGAGCACAAGGAGGAGAATGAGAGGCAGAGAGAGAGAGAGAGAGAGAGAGAGAGAGAGAGAGAGAGAGAGGAGCATGCTGGCAGGCTGCTGCTGCATTGCTTCAGTCGCACGGGCCGCGCATTAAAATTCTGTCATTGCAAGGTCATTGCGCCAGTCTTCTGATCCTCGTCTGCCCTCCTCCCTTTGGGCACAGAACTTGGGCATGAAAATGAGAGTGCAAGCCTGCCTCTGCCGACAAATGGAGCGATGCATCTTCAATCTGTCGCAGGGCATCGCTGGCCCCAGATGTCCCTTTGAGGAAGATTGCATCATGATAATTCTGCTGTCCAATTTGTCATTCTCACCCACCCACCCCATTGCAAGGAAGAGGGTTGTTTGAACTCTGAGCGATGCAGCCTTGACCTGGAGAGGGTGAATACCCCAGTCCTGGCATTAATAATCCTAGTGGTATGTTGCCTCTCAGCAGCCTCTTCCGGTGAGAATGTCCTGGTGTGCACTCACAATGAACACTGTGTGTGTGTTTGATTAGGGATGCTGTGTGCTGCTCTCCAGAAACTCCTGGGAAGAAGCCACTAGAGACAGAAGAAGATAGACACAATGGGGAGAAGCACAGAAGCCCTGGGATGATCTTATGGGATTATTGCTGTGGGTTAAACCACTGAGCCTAGGACTTGCCGATCAGAAGGTCGGCAGTTCGGATCCCATGACGGGGTGAGCTCCCATTGCTCGGTCCCTGCTCCTGCCAACCTAGCAGTTTGAAAGCACGCCAAAAAAAGATGCAAGTAGATAAATAGGTACCACTCTGGCAGGAAGGTAAATGGCGTTTCCGTGCGCTGCTCTGGTTCACCTGAAGTGGCTTAGTCATGCTGGCCACGTGACCCGGAATCTGTACGTCGGCTCCCTCGGCCAATAAAGCGGGATGAGCGCTGCAAACCCAGAGTCGGCCACGACTGGACCTAATGGTCAGGGGTCCCTTTACCTTTACCTTTATAATGATCAGTTAGCCTATGTTGTGCATATGCCTATATGCCAGCTGTGCAGAGATTGGTTGCCCATGGGCTAGTTACATTTGCAAGCAATTGGTTCCAATAACACGGCACCTCTGGGTGAGTTTCACATGGCCAGTGTGAGCATGACCCTCATGTCATCCGCGTTTCCCATTTCTTGATGACCATGTTAAAAAACAACAACAGGAGTTTGTGCAACTGTTTGCTTTGCAATGAAAAACTGCATGCCCTGATACCTCTCTATGCCTGCAGAAGCCACTGTTTCGGTAGGTTAAATGAGAACATACTGGCTTACAACATCACCCAGTTTTTCAAGCTGGAGGTGCTGCTTCTTGAAAGGTGACTGCCATTGCAGGTGTAGCAGCTGCCGAATGTTGTTTTGCTTGCACTGGGGTTTTGCAAGCAGGGGTGGTGGTGGTGGAGGGGAGGATTGTTAGAGGCAGCAATTTGGAGGGAAGTAATTGTGGGCAGAGAAGAGGGCACAATATCACAAGCCATTTAAAACCACTTACGATTGCAATCCTCTTGTCCTCGTGAAATTGTCAGTAGCCATCCAGAATTGTAACCGAACACCAGGATTTGTTTCCTGCGATATTACAGAATCCACCCTGCCGTTGCTTTCCTGTCATCACTCGCCAAAGCGTCACTTTTTCCAAGGAAAGTACTACAGGATTGTAATTTGGTCGAAGGACATGACTTCTTTAAACACACACACACGCACACACACACACAGCAGTTTAGAAGTGAAGTCACATTCTCCAGGAAAATTTACAGTACCATTGATTGCCTGAGAGTCTCTGCCTCACTGTTTTCTTGTAAATTTACCACCAGGCAATTAGAATGGGCAGGTCAATTTCTCCTGCACCCTCAAGAGAGAATATTTCTTACACACGCTTTAAAGACTTCTGAAACAAGGCTGATTTGAGGGCCATGTTTTCAGGAGCTAAAATGGTGGGGTGGATAAATTCTTTACCAGTTCAGAAGTTGTAGCAAGTGGATATTGTTGTTCTTGTTGCTGCTGCTATTTTGCAAATCTGTGATGTGTAGAGCACCCTCCCCCCAACGATAAAAAGGTCCCAAATACCTAAAAAGCAGCTGCCCTTAATAACAATTTCTCTGGGATGTTCTGATCAGCAGAATGTTTGTCCTGGTAGTTTTGCCACCCTCAGAAGTGGCCCAGGAGATGTCTTTCTCTGTGGCAGATCGTAAAAATGGAACCCTCTCCTCAAAGAGGTGCGTCCAACATCTTCCTTGTATAGTTTTCCCGGTATGTTGAAGATGCTTTTCTTTACCTTGGCATTTCACAGTTTAGGTGTTTTCTTTTGTGGGACTTGCTCTGTGTAAGACTTGGGTGTAATTATTATTATTATTATTATTATTATTATTATTATTATTATTATTTCATACCTCGCCTATCTGGATGGGTTTCCCCAGCCACTGTGGGTGGCTCCCAACAGGATATTAAAAACACAATAAAAGATCAAGCATTAAAAACTTCCCTAAACAGGACTGCCTTCGGATGTCTTCTAAAAGTCAGATATTTGTTTACTTTCTTGACATCTGGTGGGAGGCCATTCCACTACTGAAAAAGCCCTCTGCCTGGTTCTCTATAACGTCACTTCTCACAGGGAAGGAACCACCAGAAGGACCTCAGAGCTGGACCAGGCCGAATGATGAGGCTGGATACGTTCCTTCAGGTATACTGGGCCAAGGCCGTTTAGGGCTTTAAAGATCAGCACCAACACTTTTTAATAATTGCAACTGTTTCGTCTGTTCTTATAACTGTCTGCCTTGTTTTTGTAGCCTACCATAGCTCCTTACAGTGAAGGGAGAGGAAGAAATCTCAGTGGTAAAATAAATACAAATAAACAATATACCTGGGAAGACTTGGAAAATGTTGGGAGCAAGTTAAACACACCAGGAGGGAGGCCAACAGTAGGTGGCGCAAGAGCAGAGCCAACTCAATTCCTGTTTTCTCCCCATCCTCCTCTCTGTTGAGACTAAAGTGGAAGAACCTCACAGTTGGCCAATGTGGCTATAAGTACAAAGGGAAGGTTGGCTGAGGGAAGACTGAGGTTGATGGAGAAGAGCCACATTTTCCCTTATGGACCAGCCGTCACTGCAACAAGGTCTAAGACCACACTGTGTGATGCATTGCATCTTCCCATCCAAGTCTGCCTGAGTATTAGCTTATTCATCCGAGATTTTTATCAAGCTACCCTTACTTACGAGGTAAGCTGAGTGGCTGCAAGGGATAGGGGCGTTAACATGGTTGTCCCTCTGTTAGCAGAACTCCCTATCTGGCAGGGTTTGAGGGGGGAGTGCTGGCAAGTTGCCCTCCAGGAAGCCCCTCTCCTATATCACTGGACTTTCCTGGTGGCGGCAGCAGCAGCAGCAGCAAAAACACCAGCCATCATTGGACAGCTGGCTCTGGGAACCACCAATTTCCCACAATGCCTCAGAGTGATGCAACATTGGGGGCATTGTATGGCAGTGAAATGGGAGGTGCCAAGCCACCAATTGACCTGTGGTGATCAGAAAGCTGCAAGAAACTGGCTGAAAAGAAGATGCATATATGTGGACCTGCCAGGTACTGGGACCCCAGCTGAAGTACTAGGAAGTCCCATTCCTAGAGACATACTCTGGTGTCTTCTCGATACCTAATAAAAACCGGCGTGTCTGCTCAGACATTTGAAGGCATTTAATTCTTCCAACTCCATCCTCCTTTTGTGGGATGTTATCTGCTCTGCTGTGTTTTGCAATTTTATGCAATTGGTTTTAATTACTGCCATTGTAGAAACCCTAAGATGTTTTGATATTGGGAGCTGCCTAGCAAGGTCGAATGCTTTCCCCTTTTTTTCTCTTAAGAATCTGAAAATGTTTCATCAGAAGCACCCTAGGACTTTATCCAGAAAATGCCGGTATTTCTCGAAGTCTCTTTTGCTCTGCTCCAAGTTACACACTGCAGTCATTTATTTTCTTCCCTGCTCGTATCTCTTGGTTCAGAGATGCCTTTGGCACATTGATTTACACACACACACCCGTTGCCATTTCCCACTGAATGACTGGTTTAGCCTGCCAATACAATGGTTTCAGGTGCGGATTTCACTGTGCCTACCTATTAACAGTCTGTGAAGTCAAGGAAAACTTTCTGTGCGGCTCGGCCGCTGAGATTAAAAGGTTCTGCAGCCACCTGCTTTTATTCATATTGATTGCGGCAGTTGCCGGGATTGGGCTTGGCAGAGAGCTCCAGCATTATGAAAATGGATCACCATAAAGAGAAGCTTTTGACAAAGTGCTCATGAAGCAATGAATATTCTCTCCCCCCACCCTCCCCGGCTGTTAACGGTCAGGAAACTGTTTGTGGCTTTGCAGCAAACCTCGTCAAGCTCGCAATGCCACTGGAATGTTTAAATAGGAAAAGAATTTCAGAACTCTTGCAGACCCATTTCTTTGAGCTTCACTGTGATTTTGTCCGGGTGGCTAAGATAGGGTTGCCACATGTCTAGATTTTCCTGGACGTGTCCGGGATCTCAAGGGGGGCGGGTTCGTGAAATCAACAAAAAGTCTGGATTTTTGAAATTCCCCCCCAAATTTCTTTGGGGAAATATGGCAACGCTAACTAAGAGAACTCAGAGACAGTTCTGTATTTCATGGCTGAACTTAAGTACATTTGTAGCCGTGATATGGCAGCCATGTGATAGTAACACCTGATCTCTTTCCTAAGCTTAAAATTAATCATGGGGCAGGGATGCTCAAGGGACGCGGGTGGCGCTGTGGGTTAAACCACAGAGCCTAGAACTTGCCGATCAGAAGGTCGGAGGTTCAAATCCCTGCGACTGGGTGAGCTCCCGTTGCTCGGTCCCTGCTCCTGCCAGTTCAAAAGCACGTCAAAAGTGCAAGTAGATAAATAGGTACCGCTCCGGCGGGAAGGTAAACGGCACTTCCGTGCGCTGCTCTGGTTCGCCAGAAGCGGCTTAGTCATGCTGGCCACATGACCCGGAAGCTGTACGCTGGCTCCCTCGGCCAATAAAGCGAGATGAGCGCCGCAACCCCAGAGTCGGCCACGACTGGACCTAATGGTCAGGGGTCCCTTTACCTTTACCTCTTAGGGATGCTCAACGATTTCCTTTGGTCTGGATTTGTAAAGAAACCATCCTTATTGGTACTTCCTGGACCTTTGTATCTCTCTGAATATTGTGAAAACTTTTCTCTCACACACAAAAGGAACGTAAACTTACATGCTATTGGTCAAAATGCATTTCTTGTTGTTTTTTAAAGATCAAAAATAAAGTGAATTTGTGTGCATTTATTTTGATTTATTTTTTTAAAAAACCACACAATTATGGGGAAATGGCATGGAGCAGACTTATCAATGGACACACAGAATATGGATACAGAGCCCAAAGATACCATTCTTGTCATGTGTGGGCTTGGATCAGGAGGGCACGAGGAGGTAACTCATTTTCTTGCCCAAATTTTCCCCTGAGTTGCTAATAGCCATCTTGCTGAAGTAAAGGCAGCTAATGACATTGGCTATTAGCTGCTTGGAATGGGAGCCATTTTGACTGGGGAGAGGTTAGTGGGAAATGGGGTTCAATAGCCTATACACTCCATGGCTCCCCCAAGCTGAGGTCCATTATTGTGTTGGCCACCATCAAACTTTGGAAAATGCATTGTGGGCATTTGATTGTGGACCACCCATATCATGATGGCTTTTAGCCACAGGGGCTTGGCAGCTATTATAAGTGTGACTGATACGTTACATGCTGATAATCTTCGCTCTCCATGAGCAGAGGTTGTGTCTCCTCCGAGATTCTTTTCTTCCTTCGACAACCGAGAGCGATGACTCCAGCGACCAACGTTGCTATAATGGCTCCCACAACAGCCGCTCCCAGCAGCCAAGGCCAGATCTGGCGGGCTTGCTCCAAGTAAGGCACCAAAAAATTCTGGAAGGGGTTGGCTGCACAGGAAGACAAAGGGAGAAATTGCTCTTGGTTACACATGAAGAAATGGAAATAACTGGGCAACCTGAAGCTCAAAAAGGGGTGAAATTCTCACAGTGAAGTGGTTCCTACAGTTGTGTTGTTTCCACCTTACAGTGGAAGTACACATAACTCATGTTACAGCAAAGTACACATAACTCATGTGCCAGGTTGTACATTTGTCTAGGGGGAAACTGGACTTGAGTTCAGGGCTTGTAGGAGTGCCAATCAGCGAATACCTTTTTTAAAATACGGTGTGTTGCATTTTTCAGCTTTCAACGTTCAAAAAATGAGGGGTGCTAAAAAAAAAAAGTTACAACATGACTTGGGAATTCAAAAGATGCTTCGTTAAATTAATATAATTTATTTATAATTTAGGTTCGCTCTGCAAGTGAAATGTGTGTAAAATTGCATAGAAGTCACTAAAAACTGATCGCCGAACATTTGCAGCGATATTATTTATTTATTTAGCGTTACCTGACATTTTCAGAAGGGAAAATTAAAATCTTTGGCTTTCAGAAAGCAGTTTATGTGCTCCTTCATCAAATGTAGGCTTACCAAGCTAAATGTTGCCCGATCACAAAAAAATAATGGCAGATTTGAATTCCTCTCAACCCAAAACACATATTTTTAAGACCCTTCACTGAATAAATATGCACAAATTAAATTTCACCCCTAAAATGAAACGCCCTACTATTACAACTCGTGCTCTTAAGTGCACTGGGGAGTCTTGAGGGTCAGCAAAAGGGCAAGAAGGGGTGTTAAAGAGAGTGATGAGGGTGTGTCAGAAAGAGAGAGAAATGAGATGGCCCCACCAGCTTTTGGCTCCACTGCCATCTTCAGCCCTGTTTAGTGATGAAGAAGAAATTCAGTTATGTTTGTCTTGTAATGAGGAACTTCCTAATTCACACTTCTCAAAGCAACACACAAACCGAAACACCTTTGCAATTCACATGCCCAAACATGGCAGTGGAATTTTTCAACCAAGCAATACATTAAGAAACACATACAGCCATACCTTGGTTTTCGAACAGAATGCGTTCTGGAAGTCCGTTCGACTTCCAAAATGTTTGAAAACTGAGGCACGGCTTCCGATTGGCTTCAGGAGTATCCTGCAGCCAAGTGGAAGCCACAGAAGCCACGCCGGATGTTTAGCTTCCAAGGCAAAGTTCACAAACTGGAACTCCTACTTCCGGGTTTGCGACTTTCAAGTTCTGAGTTGTTCGTGAACCAAGCTGTTCGAAAACAGAGGTACCACTGTATACAGTGGAATCTCTGTTTTTTAACGTAATCCGTTCTGGAAGACCGTTCAACTTCCAAAACATTTGAAAACCGAGGAGCAACGGGCAATTGGCAAAATCCACTGAGATAAAAGAAAACCATGCAGCGGAAACTGTTTGACTTCCGAGGCACATTCAGAAATGGAAGCAATTACTTCCAGGTTTTCGGTGTTCGGCTTCTGAGATGCTCGAAAACCGAGGTTCCACTGTACAGTGGTACCTTGGGTTACAGATGCTTCAGGTTACAGACTCAGCTAACCCAGAAATAGTACCTTGGGTTAAGAACTTTGCTTCAGGATGAGAATAGAAATTGTGCAGTGGTGGCAGTGGGAGGCCCCATTAGCTAAAGTGGTACCTCAGGTTAAGAACAGTTTCAGGTTAAGAACGGACCTTCAGAACGAATTAAGTTCTTAACCCGAGGTACCACTGCATTGGGGAGAAATGTGCTTAATAAGCATGCACATGTCAGCAATAAATGCTTGCCAAAAGTGCCAAGTTAAAACTGCATAGAGAACCCTGTTGCTTGGGAGAATTTCACACTAGAACGATGACAATTTTCATGGGGGGGGGCGCATTCCACAGATTGCTGCTGAAAAGAACTGAAGTTGAGATTGGAACAATGAGAAACTTGGAGAACTGAAACGGACTGGTGTGCCCATTCCTAGCCGTGCCTACTGCTGGCACAGAACCCCCAACAGATGGTCCTCAAGGGGGTGAAGCCCTTGGCAGAATCATAGAATCATGGAATGGCAGAGCTGGAAGCGACGACAAGGATCATTCCATCCAACCCCCTGCAATGCAGGAATCTCAGCAAAATCTCAGGGAAACGACTGCCCATTTATGCCATAAAGAAACGAGTCTGCTAGTCTAAGGGTTAAAGGTTCCATTAGTGCATAAGCTCAGGGGAGTTGATTTCATAATCGGTTCCTGGCTTCCCCTCCTTTGCTCCCAATTTCCATCTTCCATGAAATATTTGCATCTGTAATCATATTCACAACAGGCCCACTTCTGAGCTCTCCAGCTGATAGTTACCTGCTCTAAAAGGCGTGAAAGGAAATCATAATTACTTTCCAAAAACTGGCTGTTTATGCCCGTTAATGTTAATTAAATCAATGCAGATAACACTTGCAATAAGCCGCACCATTTTGAATGTGTGTTTCCCACCCCCCCATAAGGGGGATTCCCCCTCCCTCTCTCCTACACTTCTCTTCTCAATTACCTTTATTTTCCTCTCCCGCCACAGCCAGAAGAAATCCCAGTGGCTAAAGTCCTCTTCCTAATCTTTTATTTTAGCTTGACATTTTAATTCCTATTCTCCCCTGTCACACCTTACTGCGAGTTAAACACACAGACACCTCTCTCCGGGAGATGTTTCTGATGCACTGTCAATTCTAATTAATTGACATTTTATTTAATCCCCGTGGTACTACTTCACAGTCAGGACCACAAAAGCAGGTTTTTTTTCTGGAATGAGATTGTGCAAAATAGTTCATGCCGTTGTGGTTTGTCCCAGTACTACCTTCAAAGGGCAAAACCCCACGGCGCTTTGGGATAAATCAGAAACAACAGCATTCTATAAAATGACCATGCAATCATACCAGGAAAATCTAAACCTAAAATCTAAATCTAAAATAATGGTTTGTATTTGCATTTGAATTGAGCCTTTGTTTTGATGAGGAATAGCCGATATGGTTGCTTCCAGATACTACTGAACTACAAGGCCCATCATCCTTGACCATTGGCCATTCCAGTGGATGACCTATGGGAGCTGTAGTCCTACAACTTCTGGAAGCAACCATATTGACCATTCCTTGTCAAAACAAAGGCTCAATTCAGATGCAAACACCAAACCATTATTTTGTCATAAATAAATGAGTCTCTTGCTTCCCCCTGCAACTTCCTTGTTCCCAGCAAAGCATCTCATTCCTCTGAGCCCAACAAACCATGGCTTGTATAAACCATGAAGGTAAAGGTAAAGGGACCCCTGACCATTAGGTCCAGTCGTGGCCGACTCTGGGGTTGCGGCGCTCATCTCACTTTATTGGCCGAGGGAGCCGGCGTACAGCTTCCGGGTCATGTGGCCAGCATGACTAAGCCGCTTCTGGCGAACCAGAGCAGCGCACAGAAACGCCATTTACCTTCCCACTGGAGCGGTACCTATTTATCTACTTGCACTTTGATGTGCTTTCAAACTGCTAGGTTGGCAGGAGCAGGTGACTGAGCAACGGGATCTCACCCTGTCGCAGGGATTTGAACCGCCAACCTTCTGATCGGCAAGTCCTAGGCTCTGTGGTTTAACCCACAGCGCCACCTGCGTCCCTTGTATAAACCATAATTTGCATGAAAACCAAAAAAGGAAACCATGGTTGAGCTGTGGCTTCCACTTCTCATCCAACTGAAACGTAAACTCTAGTCAAGCATTATCTCCTCACTCAATTAACCACATATTAATTAACCACGAGAGGGAGGAGTTGCCCCCACAGGCTGCAGCCACACTGCTGTGTCCTAGTCAGCACCCACCTCCCCCTGCTACCCATGCACTGAGGGAGAAAATCAACAGAGGCAGCCTGTTTTATGTGGTTAGGCTCTTCCAGGGATTGAGAACCTCCCTCTTCAGACCATCTTCCAACAAGGGAGGTGGGTGGGGAAAGCGGTACAGTCCCACTCTCTCCCTCGCGCAACACTAAACAATGCCCCAAACAGAGCTTCTGTCTTATGCCCATTCAAATTCAATGGCTTGTACAGATGCAATAATCTCTGTGTATGCTTTGTTTCTTCACAAGCTACTGTTAGAATTCCTGCTCCATGATTGCAGTCATGGGATTGTTGTCTTTCACATGATGGTGTATGTTTTGACTCCACAGAGTGGGAAGTGACGGAGACAGGATGTTTGTGTTACTGTGTTCCGTGAAGTGGGACTATTGTCCTTTGTTTTTTTATCTTTGCTGCCTGATGCTAGAGAGAGAGGGAGCCATGTTGTAGTGCTCCGTGTGTTTATATGTAAATAAAGTAGATTAGCCAAAATGCTGAGTTGCTGAGGTCTGTTACGCAAGCTGCAAAGACTCTGCGGATCCCTAAGTGTGCCGATGTGTGTTGGCATCAGTCGCTGTGATGTTCGGGCTGAAGAAAACTAATAAAGCTCCTGAACAATTGACCAGGAGGGAGAGAACATGCCAGTCGGGCATGTGTCTCTGACAGGGTCCTACTTGAGTGTAGGACAAGCTCCTGATAGCTACTCTCTATGCATCTCAGGTGCTCGGATGAAGGCTGGAAACCTGCATTTTGCATGAGCATGAACAGTGGCAGACACTGGGCTCTCAATTTTCAGTGAAACCCTATGTGACAGTAAAATCCAGGACTCCCACCTCTCGCGCTCCATTCTACAGCATTGTGGTGGTGCCCAGTGCAGCGCGGCATGCAATATGCCCACACTTGTTATGCTACCCTAAAACTGCCTCTGATCATGAATGGCAAAAAAATGCAGAGAAGGGGAGCTAGAAAAAGAGGCAGACTTGTTTTGAGCGATTCCAGCAAGTCACACAGTTCTGCATTTTGCATCTGGCTGGCAGTAAGTATGCATGTATGCTCCAAGGTTATGCTGTTTGCTTCTGCTTTGCAAACTAGAACCAGTGGTTTTTTTTCCTTAAAAAATTGTTTAGGGTTACTCTCATTTTGACTCAAGAAAATCACCATTTTATAATTCAAATCGCGGGAAATAAATACAGTAAATGGACAAAAGTACCAAGAACATTATCTCATATTACACAGCTGACAGCTCACAGTTAAATTCCACATTAGCCAAACTTTCATCAGTAAAAGACCACACATCCACATTCCACACTGCTTCACACATTAAATGCCCGCTTCCGTCTGAGACTCAGGAAACACCAGTAAAGGAAATGAAGCTGCCATCAGGGATAGCAACGGAACTGACAATTCACTGTCCTAGAGAAGAAACTAAATTTTATTTTATTTTTAGTTTCTTCTCCCGTTAGATTCACAAAATATTTAGGGGTATGTGTCCCCCCCAGAAAAAAAGCACCGACTAGCACTATTAACTTGGATGCTCACCTGTTCTTGATTCTGCCTCCAGCCAGCTCTCACCTGCCTGCCTTCTTCCTTACAACCAGCCCAGGGGGGTTATCTGGATGCCAGCTTCCTTCTCCTTAAGTCTCAAGTTTTGCCCTTGTACAACTCAGCAGGACACAGGAAGGGGATAAAATCTAAGTCAGCTGGCTCCGCCTGTCAATGGCTTCCCTACCAGTCCCAATGGGTGCCTGCTTTCACTGCCCCCACTCGCCCAACATGCATGCTTGTAAATAAAACAGATCTTTCAAGAAGTCTCCAGTGCTTCCAAGGAAACCGAGCCCGCAAAGGACCGCCTCATTTCAAAGCTAGTTAGCAGGAGGGGAACAATGAAAAAATTCCTCACAAGCTGATCAAAAGAGAATATCAAAGTGCAAAATTCTCTATTTGAACTAGATGCCAAGTCAACGTGTCAGACCCCTCCTTTGAATATGGTATTGAGTGATCAAGACCTACTCTGGGCTGCCCAAGTGAAACTTCATGTGAAATCTTTGGAGCAATGCAGGCTGATATATGAGCAGAAGTGCCCTCTGAGTCCACACCAGACCTCTCCAACCTGGTGCCCTCCATATGTTTTGAACCCACACTGACTGGGGCTGATGGGAATAGGAGTCCAAAACCTCTGGCGGGCAGATTTTTTTCACATGTAATAATCGGATAGTGGGTGCAGCTTGAGTAGATCATACGCTCTGTGCACAGAGAAGTCCAGGATCAATTCTTGCCATCCCCAGTTAAAGTATCACAGGTAGCATGACAGGGAGAGACCTCTCTCTGCCTAAGACCCTGTAGAGCTGCTTTGAGTCAGAGTAGACAACAGTAGGCTGGACTCATCAATGGCCTGGCTCAATATAACACAGCTTCATTTGGCTTATGGAAGGAACTAGCTATAGCTCAGTGGAAAGACATCCTTTTTGGTATGCAGATGGTTCAATTCTCAGCATCTTCCTCTAAGGATGAGAAGGCCCTCTACCTGAAACTTTGCAGAGTTGCCACCAGTCCGTATCTTCTTTGGTAGCCAAGTAGCCAAGTAGGATTGTCTTCCATGAACACAGTCTTAACAGTGAGTCCATAAGTGACTGTGGAGGCCAATTCTGGATCCATACATCCTTCCACAGTAGGCACATAGATTTCCAGGTGGGTGTTGATCATGGTGAGGGTTTGCCAAATGTTCTCGTTTCTCCTTTTTGCCCTGAGTTCATGCTTCTTTAAAATTCATGACACCTTTGGTAAAGGCTGTTCTCCAATTGGAGGGCTTGCAGGCCAGTGTTTCCCAGTTATCAATGCTTATATCACTGTTTTTTAAAAAAGATTTGCCTTGAAGAGTTTTAAACCTCTTTTGTTGTCCATCACAACAGCATGAAGCAGGAACTAGGCACACGTTGTGCTGCTGCTTTTATACTCTCCCCCAATCCCCCTTCAAAATGATTGGGCAATAGCTCTGGGTGATTGTGGTGCCACCCCGGAGTAAGGGTGATAGCTCCCCCCACGCCGGGGTGGGGGTGGGACCAGTTTGAGAGCCTGCCCGCAACCAGGACCATCTATTAAGATGATCCCATTTCTTGCCTAATGAAATGGGGTGACATTTTCCAGAGTGATAAGTGATCTTTCTGACAGCATGTCTGTGTGGTGGCATTGAGGGAGGGAGTTGTGTGTGTGTGTGTGTGTGTGTGTGTGTGTGTAGGGAGGGGGCTCGATTTAAACATTAGCGCCACTAAAATCATTCTGCTGCCGTTGGCCTATGATTAGTGCTCTCCTGCCTCCCGGCTGAATTTCCAACCAAACATCAAACAAATTGCGCACAGTTTTTGGAAACGGCGGGTGGGGCGATGGGTAGCGCTCTCCGCTCTTATCGGTTTGCTTTGAGAAAAATAAACCAAACAAGCAAACAGCCCAAATGCCAAACGCCCCTAAAGGGGGCCAGTGCTGAGACAATGGAGAGACGCCTTTTCAGACGGAGTCATTTGATCAGGAACAGGCTGCCGATTCATGCTCTCCCCTCCTAGCGATTTCTGGGGAGCCAATTCTCTGCTCCAATGTGACATGATAGTATCGTGCATTCATATGTGTGTGTGTTTTTCATAATTATTATTTTAATCATAGAAGTGGGTCCCCCAATTCAGAGTGGGACTGGAGGATTGTGGAGCCTGGGTCTAACAAGCCTTTCCCCTTCTCCCTGGCCCCGAATTTCTGTTCTTCCCCCTCCCCTGAAGCTATTTGCTGCAGCTTCCCTCCTGGTATCCCAGAGTAAGTGAAAGCTGCTCTATTGTGTGTTTTATGGCACACTAAAAAGACAGGGCAGCAGGCACTATGGGAAGGAGCGCTAGAGAGCAGTGTGGCTGGGTTTGATTACTTTGCTTCAAAAATTTGGAAGCCTCGCTGACTAATCCAGGCTTAAACACCAGCCCACAAAATCGCTTGCAGGCTAGTCACTTTCACCAATTTTCTAAGGGCTGGCAAAGGTAGGATTGAGAGCTCCATGCCCCTTGCAGAAGCCTGGTGCATTTTTATGCTTGGTGTGGACGAAGAGGCCTTGCTTCCTCCCTTTATGTTGGTTGCAGAGGAAGGGCAGGACGTTTCATCTCTCCTCCACCTGTCTGGTCACTTGCCTGCAGGGAATTCTTTAAAACCTTGTGGGTATCAGGTGAATGCTTAAATACAAGTCTAGACTAACGCACAGTTTCTCTCATCGGCTTTATTTTTTAGGTAAAAAAAGGTAAAGGTAAAGGACGCCTGGACAGTTGTGTCCAGTCAAAGGTGACTATGGGGTTGCAACACTCAGCTCGCTTTCAGGCCGAGGGAGCCAGTGTTTGTCCACAGGCAGCTTCCCAAGTCATGTGGCCAGCATGATTAAAACTGCTACTGGCACACAGAGGGCTGTGACAAGTGCCAGAGCGCACAGAAATTCCGTTTACCTTCCCACCGCAGTGGTACCTATTTATCTACTCGTACTGGCATGCTTTTGAACTGCTAGGTTGGCAGGAGCTGGGACAGAGCAACGGGAGCTCAATCCGTCGCGGGGATTCGAACCGCCTACCTTCTGATGGGCAAGCCCAAGAGGCTCAGTGGTTTAGACCACAGCGCCACCCGCATCCCATGTTTATAGTATGATGCTGGAGAAGGTTTATCCTGCTGTATTTTGATGGGGTAGCCAACGGGATGTTCTCTTGATGTTGCGGGACTATAACTGCCTTCATCACTGACCACTGACCATGCTAGCTAGGATTGATGGGAGATGGGAGTTCAGAGTAAGAGCGTAAGAAGGGCCTGCTGGATCAAGCCAATGCCTCATCTGGTCCAGCATCCTGTTCTCACAGTGGCCAACCAGATGCCCGTGGGAAACCAACAAGCAGGGTCCAAGCACAAGAGCCCCCTCCCCTCCCGTGGCTTCCAGCAACTAGTATTCAGAAGCATTACTGCCTCTGAGTATGGAGCATAGACGTCATGGCTAGTAGCCATTGATAGCTTCATCCTCCATGAGAAAAACATCTGGAGAACGTCATCTTGGCATCCTCTTGGGGTAAGCTTTGGTCATGATTGTGTTTTACATTGCATTTTATTGTTTTTCCCCCAATGTCTGCTCTGGAAGCATAAAAGTGTGGTAAAGGTAAAGGTAAGGGACCGCTGACTGTTAGGTCCAGTCGTGGCCGACTCTGGGGTTGTGGCGCTCATCTCGCTTTATTGGCCGAGGGAGCCGGCGTACAGCTTCCGGGTCATGTGGCCAGCATAACTAAGCCGCTTCTGGCGAACCAGAGCAGCGCATGTAAATGCCGTTTATCTTCCCGCCGGAGTGGTACCTATTTATCTACTTGCACTTTGACGTGCCTTCGAACTGCTAGGTTGGCAGGAGCTGGGACCGAGCAACGGGAGCTCACCCAGTCACGGGGATTTGAACCGCCGACCTTCCAATCGGCAAACCCAAGGCTCAGTGGTTTAGCGCCACTTGTGTCCCATAAAAGGGTGGTATATAATTCTAAATATTTTTTTTTAAAAAGTGTATGGAAAAATTAACACCCACCCAGATTTTAGGTCTTATTTGAGCGCCAAGTCTCAATAGCTTGCTCCTCCAGATTGTCCTAGCATGCAGTGACACCACAATCTAGTATCTCAATTCATGGTATTGTCACATGGCCTCCACCGCATCTTTTGATCTGGCTTTACCAAAAGAACTTACAGTCAGAAAACAAAGGCAACTGCCTCAAGATGTCTATGTTACCTGGCTCTACTAGATATTCATAGTCGTATCCCAGATCTCTTGAAGAAATGAAGAATTCCCCGTTCCGGTAGAGAGGAATGAAGGGGACCATGTAAGATTCACGGTTATGTCCAATAGGGGCATTGGCTGCCGGGTAAACCTCACGCAGGGGCTGGTGTCTTCTGAGCCACTGCTCGAAAATGCTGTGAAAGGAAACACTCATATCAGTATTGTAACACCAAGGGCAGTTTCATTTTTAAGGCAAGAAGGAACAAAGTGAGCCTCCGTAAGTATTGAATTCCATAACCTCGGTGCCACCACAGAAAAAGGCCCCGCCTTCTTTCAGAGTAACTCTACATGAACATTTGCTTCCGCGCTTTGACAGCATAGCAGAGCAGTCTCGTCTTATTATGTACAGCTACACCTGTATGTTTTTGTAAGTGAGCACTACAGGACTTGTTGTGTGGTCTCATTGTGTTGCGTTACATATACAAGTTGGATGTTTGAAGTGTATGGTTAGTTTGGCAATGATTGTGTTGGTGCTTACGTTATTGATGTTGGTCATTCCAATCTTAAAATCCTCAACAGGTGCAAATATTATCGTATTTATCCTTAACACAAAAATGAAACCCCACAATTATTGTATATATGTGTAAATATTTTAAGCCGGTCCGTCCTTGTTGAGAGGCCTGAATATTTTTTCCAGTGGCGTCTGTGCCCGCTCATGGTAGCATGTCAATGTGCCCTGCCAGTTTTCTCTAAGTCTTGTACAGAACAGTGCATGGCATGAAAGACAGAAAAAAAGATCAGCGACGGGGAGAGAGAGGATGCATTCTGAGACTGGATGTCAGATGCAGAGCTCATCCAGATCAATGTTTTGCAGAGATCGTTCTCCATCCTCTCAGAGGATGAGCAACAAGGAGGGTGGCACAGATTTCTCGAGTCCAAGAGGCCAAAATTAACCTTTTCAAAATAAAAACATGAATCACGTACCCGGCAGTACATGAAGGGCAGTCAGCAGTTTGCTATGTAATTATGCTGAAAGCAATCAGGGCCAGAGATCTTACATTGCTGAAATTCACCTTAGCCAAAAGAGCACCTGTTCCCAGCTTAGGAGTCCAAAAGTTGATGGTGGTTATAATTCATCAGTATTTTCGCCCGTCTCGCTGTAATGTTTCTTTGTGCTCTCAGCTTTAATAATCAAAATTGAATTCTGCAACAATCAATGTGCATCCAGCATGTTGTTAATTGCCCTTTATAGTCACACACACAGAGAGAGAGACACAGACGCTGCTTCTGCTAGCCACTGATATGGGGTGACCGACTTTATTTTCACCACAGCCTTGTGAGGTAGGCTAGGCTCAGGCAGCGACTGGCTCAAGGTCACCCAGTGAACTTCATGGCTGCTCAAGGATCTGAACCCAGAACTCCCCTGTTAGAATTCCTGCTCCATGATTGCAGTCATGGGATTGTTGTCTTTCACATGACGCTGTATGTTTTGACTCCACAAAGTGGGAAGTGACAGAGACAGGGTGTTTGTGTTACTGTGTTCCGTGAAGTGGGACTATTGTCCTTTGTTCTTTTTCTCTTTGCTGTCTGATGCTAGAGAGAGAGGGAGCCATGTTGCAGTGCTCTGCGTGTGTTTATATGTAAATAAAGTAGATTAGCCAAAAAGCTGAGTTGCTGAGGTCTGTTATGCATGATGCGCAAACTCTGCAGATCCTTGAGTGTGCCGGTGTCGGTTGGCATCGGTTGCTGTGATGTTCGGGCTGAAGAAAGCTTTTGAAACTCCCGAACGATCGACCAGGAGGGAGAGAACATGCCAGTCAGGCATGTGTCTCTGCCAGGGTCCTACTCGAGTGTAGGCTCAACTCCTGACATCCCCAGCCAGAGTACAACACGCTAACATACCCTCCAACATTCCTCAAATGAAAATGGGGACATTTCTCACCCCCCTGCCAACTGACCCTCCTTGACCCCCTTTTTTGTCATACCCCCCAACTTTTCCTATCAGAAGAAGGGCAAGTGTCAGCACCACTACAGCACACAGACACTGCCCTGAGAAAACCCCTTAATTCTGATTTTACTTTATTCTTTGGTAGATTTACAAGAAGAAAAACGCATACTATTAAATAATTTTTTTAAAAGAGGTAAGATTAGACACGAATGCACAAAGCATTTCTTTCAAAAAAATCAAGACTCCTTGCACTCCGCTTCAGATCCCCCTTTCTTCCTGCCTAGGGCGGTTCTGACCTCTGCCTGTGCCCCAGAGCTGGTGTGTCATGGGGGGCTGGGTCTCAACAGGGGCATCCTCTCGCCTGCCTCCCCTATTCTCCAGCAGCCACTGCAAGCTGCCCGAGGGAGGAGGTTTAGGCAACACGATGACCATGTACATATGCAATAGACAATCTTTTACAGAATTCCTTCAAACCATAACGAGACCAAAATGAAATCTTTAGTCTCAAAGTCTCTGAAAATCTTAAATGAAGCGAGGTACCAGACAGGAATGTATGCAAACGACTACATTATTACATGAGCATTTGATATTTTCATTTACATACATTCATTTGAAACAAGATGGGTTTGTGAGGCAATTCTATATCCTCCCACCAAGCTGACGAAGAATTCTACGAAACAGTAGTCAATATCCGGAATCACTGTTCAGTGTTGGACATCATATTTGCTGAATACACAAAGCTTCACAGCTTGCCTTTCATCGTACAAAGTCTGGTGCCTCACTTCATTTAAGATTTTCAGAGACTTTGAGACTAAAGATTTCATTATGGACTTGTTATGGTTTGAAAGAATTCTGTAAAAGATTGTCTATTGCATATGTACATGGTCATTGTGTTGCCTAGACATTGCTGACGTTCTCTTTGCAACACAAGGGGTTGTTTGTTACTTACAAGGGAGGAGGTTGGCAGCAACAGCCATGGAAAAGCCATGGAGAGGCGATGCTCCCTTGCAGCCGCCACTGCTGCTTGGGACAAGTGCTGGCTTATTATTTATTAAATTTATATTCCACCCTATGCTTATCCTCCTCCACTTGGCAGCGGTGCTGGCACGGGAAACAGGGATATTCTGGGATCAGATCAAAAGCTGGGATGGCTTTTGTAATTCTGGGACTGTCTTCTTGCCAGCTGACTGTTTCCATGACTGTCAGCTGTACATATGGCATGCAATGTCTCTTTCTCTCTTCGGCGATCACTCGTAGCTGAGTAAGATTGTCTTCCATAAACACGGTGTCAGGGGTTCAGGAGCAGAGGCAAGGGCAAGGGAGGAAACAGAGAGCGAGGGGGAGGAGGCAGAAGAAAAGATGAGTGATGACGACGACCCGAGATCTCCGAGTCTTTCCAGTGAATCAGAAGATTCACAGAAAGGAGCACCACTGGCCAGGGCAAGGGGGTAGCCTAGGGGACACCCCAGGAAGATAGAGCCAGAGGGGACTCAGAGGAGCAGTTGGAAATCGGGACCAACGTCACCGCCAGAGAGCAGGGAAGAGGAAGGGCACCAGGGATCAGCGCTGGCAGCTCACAGCAGGGGAGGGCACGAGTCAGGGTGGCCACACCTCCATCGGGGAGCGAAGAGCGGTCAGGCGGAAGGTGGAAGGTTGGGCGCGCGCCATGGTTCAAATGCACAGGAAGGTGGCGCAGTAGGCAGCCCGGAAAGGAGCCAGGTCCCAAAGCCCGCCGAAAGGAGGGAGAAGAGTCAGGAGTCAGCGTCAGCGTCAGAGGAATCCCGGAAGGAAGAGACCCGGGGGGCAGAGGGCCCCAGAGAAGAACAGTCAGGCGGAAAAGGTGGAGCAGGGCTAGGAAATCAAGTTGGTGTACACGGGGCGGAGACTCCGCCGGAGCTGCGCCGGTCGAAGCATGAGACGTAGAGTTGCACGCAGCAGCTTGAGAATGGAAACTGTAACTCAATAAAGACTTTTGTTTAATGATCGCTGGCTAGCGTGATCCTCTGTGAGCTAGGATCTGGAAGCAGCTCTGACAGTAAGCTCCGTCTCCTAAATTGTGGGCATCTACGGCCTCGCGGAGAGGAGAAAGCGGGTGCCTACTAGCGAGCTCCCGAACGGCGGACAGTCTGGCGGCCGAACAGCAGATAGCGGAACTCAGAGAAGCAGTGTCACGACTGAATGCCGAGGCTCTTGCATCCAGGAAGAGAGAGGAGGGCGCAGCTGCCGCCTACAGGGATCTCCAGGTCAGGTTGGAAGTGCTTACGAAGCAAGGGCAGCTGACACCCAAACCGGAGGATTGGGTTGGGGAGGCAGACAGGCGGTCTGGTCTCTCACTTCGATGGGAATTTGCAACAGTACCCCAACTTTAGAGCAGATGTAATGTGTGCACTGCAACTGCTGAACAAAGACTTTAGAGATGAGCAAGAGAAGGTGGGATTCATCATGTCCCATTTGCATGGAGATGCTAAAGCATGGCTGCGCAATTTGTGGAGAGATAAGGATCCGGCGCTCCAAAATGCGGATGCCTTTATTAAAGCGATGGATGGGTGCTTTTATCAAGCATTGACGTGGATCTTGCTCGGCAGCAGATACATGGACTGAAGCAAGGGAGGGCCAGCGTAAGGCAGTACCATGCCCGCTTTTCGCTTTGGTCAGTGCTCTGGAATGGGACAGAGATTCGGCTCCTGTAAGAGACCTGTTTTGGGAGGATTGCACGGCTCGGTTAAAGATGAGAATTGCGAGGAGAGACCCGGACCACGCAGGAGATCGTTCAGAGGGCGCTGGCGGTGGGGGTGCGGCTGGAAGAACGTCCGTGGAGCAGGGACGAAGGGCGTGGAGGCGCGGACCAGCCAGGGCTCCTCCTTCCTTCCCAGAGAAGCAGCGCGTGCGCAATCCACGCCTCCGCCAGGAGGAGGCGGAACCTATGGAGGTTGGAGGTGCAAGGGCTCAGTCAGCAGCCAGAGCCCTAGCACCGGCAGCAGTGGCGAAGCCTCCTAGAGGAACAGGAAGTGTTACATCTGCGATGATCCACAGCATATGGCGAAAGAGTGTCCCCAGAGGCTCCACAAGCACACTGCAGCCTCAGCAATGGTAACTGCAGCAGCGCAGCAAGGAGGAACCACGGCAGGAAGCGGCGGAGTCTGGCTGGAGAAAGAGGCACTGGGGCCCAGCCAGACGTGTCAGTGAAGCAGTCCCCAGAGATTTTACAGCCCATGGACCCCCTCCCGCCCAACCCCGGAGTGAGGCTCACCGCGTCGCTCCAGCTGCCCAATGGCATCAACATGGACGTGCCAATCACCATTGACTCCGGAAGCAATGCGGACTTTATAGGGCAGGACTTTGTCGACCGGCACGCTATACAGTTGCTGCCTGCCACGCTGCCCCTGCAGGTTGTCACGGTGGATGGCAGGGAGCTGCTAGGGGGGCAAGTGGTGAAGCAGACGCCACCAATGGTGATGAGACTTAGGAATCACAGGAAATCATCAGCTTCAATGTCACTCCAGCTATCGGACACGCCCATTGTATTGGGCATGAGTTGGCTGGACAAGCACAGCCCGGCGCTGGCTTGGTACCAGAGGCAGCTGACCTTCGGCTCTTCCTTTTGCGCTGAACACTGCATCGTGCCCCGGCAGGAAGGAGAGGAAGAGGAGTCACAGCTGCAGCTCGGCACGCTGCAAGCGGTTCCCCACAAGTACGCAGCATTTTTGGAGGTTTTCTGTGAGAAGGAGGCAGACAGGCTACCCCCACAGACCATATGACTGCAAAATTGACCTGCTGCCGGGGCGGCGCTGCCCAAAGGGAAGTTGTATTCCATGTCTGAGGACAGAACTGCAGGAACTCAAAGAGTTCATAGATCATAATTTGGAGCGCGGTTTCATCCGAGAGTCCACGGCAGCGGGGGCAGTCCGGTATTCTTTGTTAAGAAGAGGACACGCCCCAAAAAAGACTTGTAGTGGACTATCGCATTTTGAACAGCGTGACCAAGCCATCGGACTTCCCCATGCCCCGGATCGACGACCTCCTCGCAAAGGTACGGAAGGGCAGCGTGTTCACCAAGTTGGACCTGCGGGCGTACAGCCTCATTCGCATGCGGGAAGGAGATGAGTGGTAGACAGCCAGGTTCACGCCCCTGGGCACCTACGAATATAGAGTTATGCCTTTTGGATTGCAAAATGGTTCCCACGTTTTCAAGCTTTCATGCATCACGTGTTGGCGGGGCTCCTCTACAAGACGTGCGTCTGTTTCTTGGATGACATCCTGATCTTTTCGGAATCGCAGCAGGAGCATGACAGGCACGTCAAAGAAGTGCTGAGCAGGCTACAGCAACATAGGCTTTACGCCAAGCTGGAGTAGTGCGAGTTGGACGTGACGGAGGTGGAGTTCCTGGGCTACAAGTTGTCTGATAAAGGGCTCGCCATGGACAGCACCAAGGTCCGAGCAGTGTTGGATTGGAAAAGCCCACGCAGCCGGAAGGAGGTCCAACGGTTTGTCGGCTTTGCGAACTTCTATCGCAAGTTTATCAAAGGCTTTGCCATGCAGACAGCGGCCATCACGGACACGCTCAGCTCCTAGAATTAGAAGTTAATCTGGACAGAGCAGGCGGAGCAGTCCTTTCCAGGCACTCAAGCGTCTCTTCGCGTCGGAAGAGCAACTGCTTCATGTCAGCCCCAGCAGGCCGATGAGGGTGGAGACAGGCGCTCGGACAGAGCCGTGGGAGCAGTCCTGCTGCAGAAGGACCCGCAGGGGTTTGGAGGCCGGGAGCGTTTTACTCAAGGAAGCTCAGCAAGTCCGAACAGAACTACACCATCTGGGACAGGGAGTTGCTGGCCATTTATGCAGCGTTCAAGCGTGGAGGCACTTCCTGATCGGCGCCAAGCACACGGTGCAGGTCTGCACGGACCACAAGAATCTAGAGCACTGGCGCACGGCACAGTTCCTGAACCAGAGGCAGATACGTTGGGCTGAGTTCTTTGCGAATTTCGACTTCCGAGTAGAGTATGTCCCGGGGGACACCAACATCATGGCGGATGCTCTCTCCCGTAAGCCACAGTATTTGGAGGAGGCAGGGCGAGCGGCCGCCATGCACATCTTCGCACCGACAGTGTGGGCGTGCACGGCGGCGACAGTTGACCTGGAGGCGGTGCGCCGAGCGGTGCAGGATGGCTCCTTGGCGCAAGCAAAGATGGCAGAGGCGCACAGGGGCACGGCAGCGACCGGCGAGTTCCAGCTGCGAGATGGTTTGCTCATCCGTAAAGGGGCCATCTACGTGCCGGGAGGCGAACTCGCGCCAAGGTACTGCAGCAGCTGCACGGCGCGCCCACTGCCGGGCACTTTGGCAAGGAAAGCGGTGGAGTTGGTAGCCAGAGACTTCTGGTGGCCAGGAATGAGAGGAAGTCGCGGACTACGTGGCGGGTGTGACACCTGCCAGAGGGCCAAACCAGTGCACAGACCGCCGGCCGGACTGCTGGAACCGCTGCAAACTCCGTTCGAACCATGGGAGAGAGTGGCCCTGGACTTTGTCACGGATCTGCCCAGCTCGAGGGGCACGGCGGCTGTGCTGGTGGTGGTGGACTTGTTCTCCAAGATGGCACATTTGAGTCCGTGTGCGAAGGTGGCCGCGGCGGAGCGAACCGCCAAACTGTTCATAGACCACGTGTTCACGGGTCACGGTCAGCCGCGGTCTAGTCTGTCCGACCGCGGGCGACAGTTCATCGCGACCTTCTGGCAGACGCTGATGGGCTTCCTGAACGTCATGATCAAGCTGGCGTCGGCTTGACACCCGCAGACCAATGGGAAAGCGGAGCGTGTCATTTCCATCATGCAGCAGTACCTGAGATGTTATGCGATTCATCAGCCTTCGACGTGTGTTGTTTACCTGCCTCTCGCCGAGTTTGCCTACAACAACACGAAGCACGTGTCCACGAGAGTCACGCCGTTCTTCGCCAACAGCAGGAGGCACCCCAGAACCTTCCGGGACTGGAAAAGAATGGGGAGGAGCCGCAGACAGCAGATGCATTCGCGTCGGAGTTGCAGGAGGTCCACGATCAGCTGCGGCGGCACCTGGAGCTGGCTAAACACGCATACAAGGTACAAGCGGACAAACACAGAAGGGTTGGCGAAGAGATCCATGTGGGAGACTGGGTCTGGTTAGCAGCCCACGCAGTGTCGGCCAGGTCGTTGGCGAAGAAGAAACTAGGGCATAAACCACTGGGGCCCTACCAGAGTCGAAGAACAGGTCAGCCCGGTTGCTTTCAGGCTGGCTCTTCCGGAGGGTTCCAGAATGCATCCGGTGTTCCACAGATCGGTGCTCACTCCCTACAAGGCACCTCACAGGTTTCAGGAACCAGGACCGGCACCGGGTCCGCTCCGAGAGAGAACCGGGCAGGGGGGAGTGGCCCGGGCGGTGCGCATCAGCGAAGTCACGGAGATTTTGGACTCCAGATGGGGGAAGAGGGTAGAATACCTTCTCGCCAAGGAGGGCACCCGGCCAGTGCCAGCAGCTGGGTGCCGGGCTACGCTTTAGGCGAACCTCTGCTCAAAGAAGAGTTTCATGCCCTCTTCCCACATAGGCCAATGCCAGCAGACTTTTCGACGACTGGCTTTTCACGCCCACGCTTTCAGCCAGCACGTTCCGGGGTTCGGCTCGGACGAGGAACCGACCACGAGGCGCCCGTTCCCGGAGGAGTCACCCTCAGGATCTGCTTCAGAACCCTCGTATTGGTGGGATGATCGACCAGAGGAGCAGTTCCGTAGAAGGTGGCTGGAGGGCCCAGGACGAGCAACGTCTCCAGAAGGCAACGAGGAGAGACGGACATGGACTTTTCGGGGACGACCGGGTTTCGAGCACGGCGGCACAGAGATGGAAGCGGAGGTGACCGTCGTCAGCGAGAGCAGGGAGGAAGAACCGGAAGACTTCAGATGGCGGCCCGCCACGGGAGCGAACTGTATCCGACATTCGTCCCCTGACACGGCAGCACCCAGATCCCGCACCGGAAGGAGGGAGGAGAGAGGGCTTCGAGGGGGATGGATGTCAGGGGTTCAGGAGCAGAGGCAAGGGCAAGGAGGAAGCAGAGAGCGAGGGGAGGAGGCAGAAGAAAAGATGAGTGATGACGACGACCCGAGATCTCGAGTCTTTCCAGTGAATCAGAAGATTCACAGAAAGGAGCACCAGTGGCCAGGGCAAGGGGAGCCTAGGGGACACCCCAGGAAGATAGAGCCAGAGGGGACTCAGAGGAGTAGTTGGAAATCGGGACCAACGTCACCGCCAGAGAGCAGGGAAGAGGAAGGGCACCAGGGATCAGCGCTGGCAGCTCACAGCAGGGGAGGGCACGAGTCAGGGTGGCCACACCTCCATCGGGGAGCGAAGAAGCGGTCAGACGGAAGGTGGAAGGTTGGGCGCGCGCGCCAGGTTCAAATGCACAGGAAGGTGGCGCAGTAGGCAGCCCGGAAGGGAGCCAGGTCCCAAAGCCCGCCGAAAGGAGGGAGAAGAGTCAGGGAGTCAGCGTCAGCGTCAGAGGAATCCCGGAAGGAAGAGACCCGGGGGCAGAGGGACCCAGAGAAGAACAGTCAGGCGGAAAAGGTGGAGCAGGGCTAGGATGTTAAGTTGGTGTACAAGGGCGGAGACTCAGGCGGAGCTTCGCCGGTCTAAGCATGAGACGTAGAGTTGCACGCAGCAGCTTGAGAATGGAAACTGTAACTCAATAAAGACTTTTGTTTAATGATCGCTGGCTAGCGTGATCCTCTGTGAGCTAGGATCTGGAAGCAGCTCTGACACACGGTTTCAACAATGAGTCCGTAAGTGACTGTGGAGGCCAATTCTGGACCCACACGTCCTTCCACAGTGGGGACATTGGTTTCCGGGCGGGAGTTGATCCCGGTGTGGATTTGCCAGGCGTGCCTTCCTCTTAGCACGTTTCTCCCTTGCATCCTGAGTTTGAGTGTCTTCAAAGCCCATGACACCTTTGGTAAAGGCTGTTCTCCAACTGGAGTGCTCGCAGGCCAGTGTTTCCCAGTTGTCGGTGTTTATAGAGTGGTACCTCGGGTTAAGTACTTAATTCGTTCCGGAGGTCCGTACTTGACCTGAAACTGTTCTTAACCTGAAGCACCACTTTAACTAATGGGGCCTCCTGCTGCTGCCACACCGCCGGAGCACAATTTCTGTTCTCATCCTGAAGCAAAGTTCTTAACCCGAGGTACTATTTCTGGGTTAGCAGAGTCTGTAACCTGAAGCGTATGTAACCTGAAGCGTATGTAACCCAAGGTACCACTGTACTACATTTTTTTAGATTTGCCTTGAGACAGTCTTTAAACTTCTTTTGTTGACCATCAGCATTACACTTTCCATTTTTAAGTTCGGAGTAGAGTAGTTGTTTTGCAAGACGATCATCAGGCATCTGCACAACATGACCAGTCCAACAAAGTTGATGTTGGAGAATCATTGCTTTGACACTGGTGATCTTTGAAGAAGCAAAGATCACATGCGATGTAGTGCTGACCTTGTAGGGTGACACTTTAAATGTACGGTGCAAATGGGGTCTGACTCCCCTCCCCTTGTAGTTACCCCTCCCATGAATTCAAAACTAAATAGCGCTCTTCATGTAAAATACAGGCTGATTTGGGCCCTGAGCTGACGAACCTTTCAGGCAACCAAGGTTTTTATTTTCTAAAAAATAAAATAAAATATGAAAACAGATTTTACTGTAACTGTGGGCGGAAGGCCAACGGTAATGGCCACCTCTTGACCTGCCTTTGTCTTGCAGATCTACTGTGGATTTGAGCCACGGCTCACGCAGCTCAACAGCATATCATTTAGAGCAAATTTCGGCACTGGAGGGGGAGGCGAGGGCTGCAAACAGTTGAGGCTCGCTGTGCAAATACCGAGCGATCAAGGTAATAATCATCGTAATACTTGGCATGCACGCAGGGCCTTTAAAAAAAAAATACATCCTGAATTGCAGCATGAATATTAATCAATCAATCTGCATGCTAAAAGCGGATCGCCCCACAGGAAGAGGGGAGTTTTTCATTATGCCCTGGGTACAGGAAGGTGATAGATTCAGAAGCCGTAGGAGCAATGGGTGGCTTGTCTCCATAATGGCAGCACAGCATCACCCCCGTCGTGTTAGGGCTCTATAGGAACGCCCGCACTTCCTACCTCCCTCAAAATATTGGCACCAAAATATTGGTTATTATAGTTTAATCACCCTTTTGCCATTTGGACAGCCTCAATTGGATCAAAGAAAGCACTTCTTTACACAGCGCATAGTTAAACTATGGAACTCCTTGCCACAGGAGGTTGTGATGACCAGCGGCTTGGAAGAGGATTAGACAAATTAGTGGAGGATAAGGCTGTTGATGCCTAAGATGGCTACACTCTGTCTCCGCAGCTGGAGGTAGACATGCTTCTGACTACCAGTTGCCAGAAGGGAGAGGAGGGAGGTTCTGCGTTCAAATCCTGCTTGCAGGTTTCTCACAGGGAAGTGCGAGAACAGAATGGGCCACTCGCCTGATCCAGCGGGCTCTTCTTGTGCTTATGAATGCTCTCTTGTCTGCTGACAAAGGTTACTTACAAGAGGAAAGGGCCAGGGACACCAAGCTATGGTCTGTGGTTGGGGTAAGGAACCAGGCCACTGCAGGGCAGTGTATTTTCTTCGTTCTGCTTCTTTAATCTCAATCTCCTTGCATTTGTATTGTTACTTTGCACTGTACCTCTAAACTCAACCTCATTGTTATTAGCATCACCTGGAGACGGCTTTATATGTTTCTCAAAAAATATTGTTAGTAGCAGTGACTACATTATTACATGAGCACTGTTAGACAGCATTTGATATTTTCATTCACATATATTCATATATTGACTTTATGAAACAATTCTATATCCTCGAAACAGCAGTCAATATCTGGAATCTCTGTTAAGTGTTGGACATTATATTTGCTGAATACACAAAGCTTCACAGCTTATCTTTCGTCGTACAAAGTTTGGTACCTGGCTTCATTTAAAGACTTTCAGAGACTTTGAGTCTAAGATTTCATTTTGAACTTGTTATTGTTTGAAGGAATTCTATAAAGATTGTTTATTACATATGTATATGGTCATCGTGTTGCCTAAACATTGTTGACATTCTCTTTTGCAACACAGGGGTTTGTTTGGATACTTATAAAGTTCAGCTAAGCAGCCCCGGGGAATCCAAAGAACAGAAAGGAATGGTACCTCAGTGGTACCTCAGGTTAAGTACTTAATTCGTTCCGGAGGTCCGTACTTAACCTGAAACTGTTCTTAACCTGAAGCACCACTTTAGCTAATGGGGCCTCCCACTGCTGCTGCGCCACCGGAGCATGATTTCTGTTCTCATCCTGAAGCAAAGTTCTTAACCTGAAGCACTATTTCTGGGTTAGCAGAGTCTGTAACCTGAAGCGTATGTAACCTGAAGCGTATGTAACCCGAGGTACCACTGTACAGAACAGTTGAGATTCCCGCATCTACGGTTCCAGGACCCCGTGAGTGCTAAGGATGATACTGAAGGACCAAAACATTGTTGTCAGTTTGGCATGAAAGAACAGCAAGACATCTGTAGGTCCTTCCGTGCCAAACAGTTCCCTTGTTTCCATCAATGTTTCTCTGTGCCTGCTCTGACATCACGTGTGCTGATTAGCCCCACCTGCTGGCACTGATGTATATAGCACATACAGCACAGCTGTATTTACAAAACTTCGCTCCTTGAAGGTGTTGGCACTGCAGATGCCAACATCCGAGGATGGGAGTAAATGGTTGTGTGGCATTGGGAGGGTGGGATCAGCCAGGGCATTCCTGCTTCCTGCTCATCGTTCCTTAGAAAAAGTACGCCGTTCACCCAAATGGGGCTTATTATGCATACCAGCAGATACTCCCATAGTTGTCACATCTAAGAAAGCACATTTTCATGCAGTGCGTAAACTGTGGCACTTGCTCCCGCAGGAAGCAGTGATGCCCACCAACTTGGATGGCTTTCAGAAGAAGAAGAAGAAGAGTTTGGATTTGATATCCCGCTTTATCACTACCCGAAGGAGTCTCAAAGCGGCTAACAATCTCCTTTCCCTTCCTCCCCCACAACAAACACTCTGTGAGGTGAGTGGGGCTGAGAGACTTCAAAGAAGTGTGACTGGCCCAAGGTCACCCAGCAGCTGCATGTGGAGGAGCGGAGACGCGAACCCGGTTCCCCAGATTGCGAGTCTATCGCTCTTAACCACTACACCACAGTGGCTCTCAAAGAAGAGCAGGCGGATTCATGGAGGATGAGGAGGCCATCAATGGCTACTATAATAATAATAATAAATAATATTTTTACTTATTTATACCCCGCCCTTCCTGGTTCAAAAACCAGGCTCAGAGCAGCTAACAACAAATTTAAAACACTTCATTGTAAAAGCAGCATAAAATACAGTATAAAAACATGAATAACAATAAAATTCAAAATTCAAAATTCAGAAATCAATTTAGGGGAAATAAGCATTAGATAATCCCCAGGGCTAGCTGGTTGAATTGGTCAGCAAGAAGACCAGGGGAGAATTAGCTGTGGGGTCTCAGTGGGTAATCTTCATAAAAGGGGAGGGGGAGGGAAGAGAAGGGAAATAAAAGATCAGGCTGAATTCAAATTAAAGGCCAGGCAGAATAGCTCTGTCTTACAGGCCCGACAGAAGGAGGTTAAATCCTGCAGGGCCCTAGTCTCATGGGACAGAGCATTCCACTAGGTCGGAGCCATCACTGAAAAGGCCCTGGCCTTGGTGGAGGATACTAGCCATAATGGCTATGTTCCACCCCCTGGTATGCCTCTAAATACCAGCTGCTGGCAATTGCAAGAGGGCAGAGGGCTGATGCGCTCATGCCCAGCTTGCAGGCTCTCCACAGACATCTGGTTGGCCACTGTGAGAACAGGATGCCGGACTAGAAGGGCCATTCTCATCTTAAGTTCTTTGGGCTGGAAATCTCTTGCCTGGGGGCCAAATATAACCCTGTAATTTTCCTATTTGGCTCTCAGAACCTGCCCCAAACCCTCTCCTCTGCCTCCATCCCCCTCAAAGCTGCATCTCTGCGTGGTCCTGTAGTGCCTCCATGGGGTGTTTTCAGCTGACAGCATCTTTGAACTCTGTCGATGGCTCTTGCTTGTCCAGATGGCGACTAGAGGGATGTGTGTACTTGTGGGTGGAAACCAAAGGTAAAATTTACATAGCCCCACCCACTTTCCCCTCTGGTCCCTCCCACCACTGGCTTGTGGGCCCTGGAAGATGTGTGCCAGAATGAAATGCAGCTTTCATATTTGCCTGCACTCATGGAAGGCATCACCCTTACCAGGAAGCTTCCTCCCTACCTGTCAACGAAGGCGTGGTGCAGTATGAAGATGGGATCATTAGCTGAGCCTTGCACCTGGGACATGGAGCCATTCATGTAGATGTGCAGGGCATTATGCAGGCTGCTTTGGGACACGTTCGAGATGGCGGTGCTTGGATTCGCAAAGCCTGTAGGGAGGAGAGGAAACAGAGCAGCAAATGGCAATTATTATTTTTTGCAATAGACATTGTGTTCATTGCAATACACGTTGATTAGGGATGCTTTTAATGTTTGATGTTTTATCGTGTTTTTAATATTCTGTTGGGAGCTGCTCAGAGCGGCTGGGGAAACCCAGCCAGATGGGCGGGGTATAAATAAATAAATTATTATTATTATTATTATTATTATTATTATTAGGTTACAGCAAGTGGTCCTACTCAGAGTAGACCCATCGAACCTAGGTTCACTCTGCCCATTAACTTAAGTGGGTCTAGCATTGGCTACCATCCAATGCACTCTTCCTATCCATACATTCCCATATGCTTAGATCAACACCAGAGGTTTAACTCTATGGGTCCCTGGCTTGTTCCCTGAAGTCTGGTGGGTGACCATGAGAATTGAGGCCTTTGTCATCCCAGCACTCAAACTGTGGCCTAGTTTATCCAAGGAGGTCACCTGCACGCCTTAATTGCTTAAGCCAGTGTGGTGCAGTGGTTAAGAGCAGTGGACTTGTAATCTGGTGAACCGGGTTCGCTTCCCCGCTCCTCCACATGCAGCTGCTGGGTGACCTTGGGTTAGTCACACTTCTCTGAAGTCTCTCAGCCTCACCCACCTCACAGAGTTTTTTTTGTGGGAGAGGAAGGGAAAGGAGAATGTTGGCCGCTTTGAGACTCCGCTTTGAGCTAGTAGTGATAAAGCCGGATATCAAATCCAAACCTTCTTCTTACTACTCACTGTCTGGTAGGTAAGTTGCAGTATTGGTGGTGATGGTATCTCAGCCAAGTGCCGCTGTCCAGATGGGAGGCCACTGAAGATATCTGCTGGGGGCTTGGGCAGCCAGATTTTTTTTTTTTACTGTGGATGCCTAGCCTTCGCCAGATGTCACCACCCACTGCCTTACCTCCAACTCTCTGGCGTCGCGGCAGCGACTGGGCCAGAGCCTGAGCCATGGGGCCTCTGTTGGGGCCTGCTGTGGCTGTGGCCATGCTTCTGAGGCGCGTCTACGGCCGTGGTGGCCCCACCAGAGGCCCGCAGTGGAGGAGGAGGCCCCGGCTCACTTGCCGCCATGCACCAGGCGTGGCATGACGTCATGACATGTGTGCTCTCTATTGGGCACCCACAGTCTGGAGCCCAAGTTGGCACCTCTGTGGGAGCAATGGATGCAGCATCCATGGAAACAGAGCTCCACGACAAAGAAAGAAAGTCAGGACGTCCGTGTCAGAAAATAAAAAACCCCCAGCTTCTGATAAGTCTCCAGCTTCAGATATTTGGAGGTTATGGCTATGTGAACATAGGGACACCAGATTTAGCTTGCATGGCTAACAGTCACCGGCAGAGCCATCCTCCATGCCGTAATTCATTATATACCATGCAAAGAAGGAGCCTTTGGTTTTGTCCATCCTGCCTCTCAGACAAGCTCACCAGGTCCTGGAAAAAAGCACATGGAGGGGTGTAGGTGGCAGAAGGTGAGGAGGAGGTGGCTGCTTGCTTTGGCATGTCCCTGAGGGTGGAAATCATCAAAACAGACCTTGCGTCAAGCCCAGTGATTTGTACAGGTTAATAACTGTGCAAACACTTTCTGGACCAGTTGGCATTTCTGAGCAGTTTTTTAAAAGCAGCCTAAGACTGCCAGCGAGAATAGAATTTCAGTCATCAATGGGAACTTGGCATAAATCTGAAATCTGCAGTAATTGACTATTTAATATTCTTTTTATGGGAGAACGGCTTTACATAACTTTTGGTATTAACAACTAATGAGGCATGATTTGCTTTAGAACATGACTGTTCCCCTCATTTGGCCCATCCGTGTCGCTCATGAGTTTACTCATGTGTATTAAGAAGCACAGTCATGGATCGTTGTGACAGCATAAAACAATGCATTAACAATGCTGAACACAAGAGCAACTGGCACATTTTATTTTATTTCTTGGTTGAATAAACAAATGTCTATCCCATCCTTCCTCCCAAAGAAGTCCAGGGCAAGAACAACAACAAATAGCAGGAAAACGATACAGTGTGAAATAAAATAGAATACAAACAGTTGCATATCCTTGAAGCTAATAATTTCAAGGTTGCCAGGAACAGTCTCTTTCAGTCATCAAATGCCCGGGTGAACAGGGATGCCTTTAAATTCCTCCTGAATGTTAATAATGAGGAAGACAGGAACACCTCACAGGGAGGGCATTCCAGAGACAGGGAACCACCACCAAGAAGGCCCTGCACACCATTTTTACAAACAAAGAGACTTAGGACAAATCAGGCCCCTTGAGGAGATGCCATCTGTAAGGAAAAGGTTGTGGGTCTGAGGTGGGAGGGAAATCAACAGTCAGGACCGCAGAATGAACCAGGAGGCAGGAGCAAGGAGCAAGACAGAAGCTTATTCAGTTATTTTGTCTGAAGGACAAGCAAAAACACATAGGAATCCAAGACCAAAGGCCTGCCAAAGATGTCAAATGGAACAGGAAGTCATTTAAAACCCTTTCTTTCCCATGAGGTTCCAGTGGATGGACTGGGCAGTCTGGATGGGCAGATCCAGTTCTACATATTTGCCAATCCAGAGAGGACAATGACAGCAGGAATTGCCACACTTCCCCTGCAGGGCTGGTGTGTGAGTCACTAGCCCTGCTACCCCTCAAATCCTTCCCAAAGTGCCCCTCACCCGGAGAGGTACTTGATGACAAAGGATGTAGGTACCTGATAAAGAATGATAGAAACAGAGGGCTGATGACAGGCTGAGTACTTTTTCTTCACATGTAGCCTGAAAAAATATACATTTTCTGTGCAACTCTTGCATTGTGCTCAGCCTGTGTCTTAACAAACGTGTCCCCAATCCTCTGGCATTTCAGTGATTTCAGCTATCTCCCTGCTCCTTATTATCTCACCAAATCCAATTCATTTTCAAGAGAAATTGCTGGATACCCTGGAACCAAATTGCGCCACCCATTGCAAGCTTGCAGAATGGTTTATACTAAGCCAAGGGCTTAACAAATTGTGTGTGTGTGTGTGTGTATGTGTTTTACCTCCACTGCTGCGATTTTCACTTGTTACTGAACACACGGTACATGGCATATGATTTCAGAATGAGCACCCTGGGTATTAATTAGTCTGGGTTACTAAAGGGGTCACGGGAAAAGCCCAGTACATCAGTCTTCGCCTGCATTGATTTTTGCTTGCTGTCTAAACATCCGTGACCCTGTGTCACCAAAGACATGAAAGCCTGTCTCTTGAAGCTGGTTCTTTTTCTAAACACCAGGGGCTGATTTGAACAGGGACATTATTATTACTACTACAGTATTGCGACATCCAGCAAGGATGCAACATCTTCATTCAGATACATTGCTCTCTCCCCATCCCCACTGGATTGAATTCACACATTCAGCTGCCATTCACCGAATGCCTGCCTTCTAACATTGAAAGGGCTCTCACAAAGAAGATGGAGAAAACCTGTTCTCTCCTGGTGCAGAGGGCAGGATTAGAACCCAAGGGTCAAAATTAGGGGGGAGGGGTGTTCAATGGCTGATCTCTGCCTGACACCCTGGAGAGCCACTTCAAATCACGGTCAGTCAAGGATCTGACTCAGATCACATACACACGATATATTGAGGACACTATGATACAACTTAGACAGCATCTTATAAAGCAGAGACATCACCTTGCCAACAAAGGTCCGTATAGTTAAAGCTATGGTTTTCCCAGTAGTGATGTATGGAAGTGAGAGCTGGACCATAAAGGAGGCTGATTGCCTAAGAATTGATGCTTTTGAATTATGGTGCTGGAGGAGACTCTTGAGAGTCCCATGGACTGTAAGAAGATCAAACCTATCCATTCTGAAGGAAATCAGCCCTGAGTGCTTACTGGAAGGACAGATCCTGAAGCTGAGGCTCCAATACTTTGGCCACCTCATGAGAAGAGAAGACTTCCTGGAAAAGACCCTGATGTTGGGAAAGATGGAGGGCACAAGGAGAAGGGGACGACAGAGGACGAGATGGTTGGACAGTGTTCTCAAAGCTACCAGCATGAGTTTGACCAAACTGCAGGAGGCAGGGGAAGACAGGAGTGCCTGGCGTGCTCTGGTCCATGGGGTTCATGAAGAGTCGGATGCGACTAAACGATTAAACAACAACAATGATACAACTTTAAACAGTCATGGCTTCCTGCAAAGAATTTAGTTGTAGTTTGTTAAGGGCGCTGAGAGTTCTTAGAGCTATGATTCTCAGAGTCTTTTAACAATCCCTCTTCTAATGAAACTCAGGGAATTGCAGGGAAGAAGAAGAAGAAGAAGAAGAAGAAGAAGGGGAGGAGGAGGAGGAGTTTGGATTTGATATCCCGCTTAATCACTACCCAAAGGAGTCTCAAAGCGGCTAACAATCTCCTTTCCCTTCCTCCCCCACAACAAACACTCTGTGAGGTGGGTGAGGCTGAGAGATGTCAAAGAAGTGTGACTAGCTTAAGGTTACCCAACAGCTGCATGTGGAGGAGCAGAGAAGCGAACCCAGTTCACCAGATTACGAGTCCACCGCTCTTAACCACTACACCACACTGGCTCTCGGAGGGGAATTGGGCTGTCCCAATCAAAATGCAGCTCCCTGCAGAACCACCAGCTTGTGAGGGTGATGGGGGAATGACAAAGACATTGTGCACATGATGTCAGGAAGAGCAGCAGCCAGGAGGGCTTTGCGAAGCTGGAAAGAGGGGTCTTGGACTCCATCGGAGCATCACACCGCCCTTCCTATATATTTTTTTAATGCTAACTTTTATTGAGTTTCCTTTTTATAACACTTAAACACATCCTCATTATCCACTTAACTTCTTTTGCTCTTACGAGCTTTCGACTTCCCTCCCTCCCTCCTCTTGGTTTTCAGAGTTAATCTTTATATCATAGCATTTGTACATTTTCCAATTTATGTTTCACTCCTTCAAAACATCCCAATTATTAAATAAATATAAAAAGGTAAGAACAGTTATCATTACGAGTCTTCTTACAACCCTGCTAGTGTTGTTTAATTGCTTACAATGGTCCTTCAAATAGTGTATAAATTTACTCCAATCTTTTTGGAGTGCTTGGTCTCTCTGGTTCTAAATTCTTCCCGTCAGTTTCGCCTGTTTTGCAAAGTCCATCATCTTCATGTGCCACTCGTTTTTGTTGGTATTTCTTTTTTTTTTTAAAGCAATTTATTGGGTTTTACAATAAAAATAAACATGTTAAACAATATGACCTTTGTCTTGACATAATTTCACATTTTCTTTGGACTTCCTCACATCTCCCGCTCCCACTTTCATCGTTATAACATTTTGTCAGCAATTTATCATCTTATTTAAATTCTTATATCGCTTCTATATTTCATAATCTTATAATTTTCAAAGGGAATTAAATTTTCACAGTCTTACTTATTTTCATAGAAAACTTCTAAATTTAGTGGTGCTCAGTTATTTTGGTCTAGCATCTTATTTAGCATTCACTCAAATTGCAATATTTTTGTAAATAGTTCTTGAATTTCTTCCAATCCTCCTCAATCCTTTCTTCTCCCAGGTCACGGATTCTGCCGGTCATTTCAGCCAGTTCCATGTAGTCTATCAGTTGCATCTGCCATTCTTCCAGTGTGGGTAGATCTTGAGTTTTCCAATGTTTTGCAAGAAGTATCCTTGCTGCTGTTGTTGCATACATAAAAATGTCTGATCCTTCCTTGCCACCCCTTGGCCGACAATACCCAAAAGGAAAGCCTCTGGTTTCTTAGTGAAGGTATATTTAAATACCTTTTTCAATTCGTTATAAATCATCTCCCAGAACGCCTTCACTTTAGGGCAAGTCCACCAGAGGTGGAAGAACGTTCCCTCAGACTCTTTACATTTCCAACACTTATTATCAGACAGGTGGTAAATTTTTGCAAGTTTGACTGGGGTCATATACCATCTATAAATCATTTTCATTACATTTTCTTTCAGGGCGTTACATGCAGTAAACTTCAATCCATTACTCCACAACCTTTCCCAGTCCTCAAACATAATATTATACCCAATATCCTGTGCCCACCTTATCATAGCCGATTTAACCGTTTCATCTTGTGTATTCCATTCCAGCAGCAAGTTATACATCCTTGAAAGTACCTTAATCTTTGGTTCTAACAATTCTGTTTCTAGTTTCGATTTCTCCACCTGGAACCCTAATTTCTTATCATTTTTAAAAACTTCTTTAATCTGAGCGTAATGTAACCAATCTCGCACTTTATCTTTCATTTTCTCCAAACTCTGCAATTTCCAATTGTCTCCATTTTGTTGGTATTTCTTGTTGTTTCCATTTTTGGGCTAAAAGAATTCTTGCTGCAGTTGTTGCATACATAAATCATTTTTTATCTCCCTTTGGTATCTCTTCCCCACAATTCCCAGTAAAAATGATTCCGGTTTTTAAACAAAAGTATTTCTATACATTTTCTTTTGCTGTTTATATATCATTTCCCAGTAAGCTTTCACTTCTCTACAAGTCCACCACATGTGATAAAAACTCCCTTCTTTTTCTTAACATTTCCAGCACTCCTTAGTTCTTGTCCTAGACATTTTAGCAAGTTGGGTTGGTGTTAAATACCACCTGTACATCATTTTCATCACATTTTCTTTTAGTGCACTGCATGCAGTAAAGTTAATACCTTCATTCCACAGCCTTTCCCAAGATTCTAACAGAATATTATTCCAAAATCTTTAGCCCACTGTATCATTACCGCTTTAACTTCTTCATCTTCAGTATGTCATTCCAATAATGTACATTTTTGATCATATATTTCTCTTATCATCCAATAAATCTATCTCCAGCCTGGATCTAGTTGTTTCACACCACCCTTCCTAAGCCGGGCAGAAGCTTCTGACAGGACGCTGAAGCCCTCCTGCCTCCTGTGCTTTTGGGACATCAAAGGTGTTATGTGCTGAAGTTCTCATCCTGGGCCAGCAGGGGGATACTGTAGATAGTTATGCAAATAAGGGATTGAAAGTGACGTTCAGTGATTGGATAGTTTTAGAAAATTGTTACAGTTACCTTGTACTGGAGCTCTATTTAAGCAAGCTGACTGAACCCTTGAGTTCAGTTCAGTTCTGGCCTGTGAATAAACAAGAGCTGCTTGAAGAATCGCTGTGTCGTCTGATATGTTCACACACAACTTAACAGAAGGGGGGCTACCCCCAAAATATAGGGGGTGCCAAAAGGGCTCGGCCTCTAGGAGCCAACACCCCTGGCTCCCAGAATTCTTTGTGGGAAGCCATGATTGTGTAAGGTGGGATAGGGCTTTAAATGTACTGTGTGGTTGTGACCTAAGGCAACTTCCTGTGTCCCTATCATTTCCCAAGCCTACAAAACAATGCCCCTCTTAATGCAATCTGAAAGGACCTTGGAACTTTTGTACACTGGCATCCTGTTGTGAGGTCAAAGGACCGCATGATAGATTTCAGCGCCTGAAGCTTCAGTCATGTGCTATTCTCCATAACTGCTTTTTCATCAAAGGAGGGGAGAAAAGGTTCCTGCACAATGACCCATCATGGGGCTGATGCAAAGGGGGGGGGGGTTGATCCTGTGCCTTTCAGAGCAGCTCGTGCTCAGAAATCAGCAAGAGAAGCTTCTCGTGGCATGTAGGTAAAAAAATCACCTGCACGTGTCGGCACATCTCACCAGGGTCACTGGAACACAGCTTACATTGTTGGGTTGAAAAGTTGGCCAGCCAAAATGCATTGGTTCCTTCCTGAAATTTGCTTTCTCTTTCAATCCAGATTTTGCGACTTTGAGCCTACTTTGGAATCTTTTCTTCAGGAAAAAGGTGCAAAAGCTTTCTGCATTTGCTGTTAATCTTGAATTGGATCCTGCCACTCATGTAAAAGAAAAGCAAAATCCTGAAACTATACTGAGAGAGTAACTGGAATCTGCCACCTGCCTAAAAAAGAAAAAAGAAAAGCTGAATTCTGCAGTCGGAATAAATTATGCAAGCAATTTGCATAACTGACTTCACTAGGTATACATGATTCCACAACTTATTGCTATTTTGAATCATTTATTGTGCAGCTCTGTGGGTCAAATGCACCAATGCACAGAGGTCATTCTCCATGAAATGCCTTCCTTAGTTAGGGCTGCCATGCGGATGTTCCTGGATTTCTTTGCGAATTTCCCCGGTTTAGGGAAATAAAAGCAATAATGGGGCTAATGAGTTAGCATTACTCAACCTTTATCAAGGCCTGTAAGGGAAAAAATTGCTCAGATTCGGGCAGATGCAGATGCCACAATTAGAATAGGTCCAGCGAAAGGGTCTAATAAACTGTCTGGTCCATGGGGTCACGAAGAGTCGGACACGACGAAATGACTAAACAACAACAACAACAACAACAACAAACTGTCTGTTCCATCCATACAGGATCAGTTTAGATCACTGGAGCCTGAGGATGTGGACAAACTGCTTGAAGAAGTGAAATATACTCAGAGTAGAGCCATCAGTTTCATGGAGTTTATTTCAGTTTGTAATAAAAACAGTCAGTCATTGGGCGTTTCTCTGTGTTCTTCCCACCCAGGCTCCAGGCTATATATCCTTTATTCACACCCTCAGTCACACCTGATAGGCTGGTTCAAACTTCCCTTCTGTAGCTGGATTGGACAGCTCCAACAGCCAATCATATTACTACATTCTAAAATCCTACCTGCCTCTTATTAGGATTTAAAGCTCCAGACATAACAATAAGTACGGCCGACCTCCTGCGTCCATGACCCTTGACCATCTTGGCTTCTTAAAATTAGCCAGATACTTTAAACCACAGAGCCTAGGACTTGCCGATCAGAAGGTCGGCAGTTCGAATCCCCGCAACGGGGTGAGCTCCCGTTGCTCGGTCCCTGCTCCTGCCAACCTAGCAGTTCGAAAGTATGCAGTGCAAGTAGATAAATAGGTACCACTCTGGCGGGAAGGTAAACGGCGTTTCCGTGCGCTGCTCTGGATTGCCAGAAGCAGCTTAGTCATGCTGGCCACGTGACCCAGAAGCTGTACGCCGGCTCCCTTGGCCAATAAAGCGAGATGAGTGCCGCAACCCCAGAGTCAGTCACAACTGTACCTAATGGTCAGGGTCCCTTTACCCTTTACCTTTACTAGAAACCTTTGGACGATACCGTGCTGACTTCACAGTACAGGAAATCCTGGAAACTAGTGTTAACGGAGAAGCTAACCGATCAAATAAAAATAGCAAAGGGCCTGAAATTGAAGGACACTTTTTCAATAGATTGGCACCCTTTTATTAAGTACACAGCAGCAGAGGAAAAGGCAGGTCCCCTTTAAAGAATTCTCTGGCTGGGATGATTGTATACTGCAATTAAATGTTGCCACACAACTGGCAGCACGATGTAGCGAGATTTGCCTCTCTGAGGGTGGGATCCTGCTATTTCATGGTTTTTCTTTTGTGGTTCTGTTAAAATCGGAAAAGAATACATATTTTAAAAACCTAGCCTGCTGTACGAAGGGGAAGTTCTGCATTCGTCGTCCACCCACTTTCACCTTTGGCATGTGGGCCCTGGAAGGGGATGAAGTGTTTGGGCTGAAGAAGAAAAAGTAGAAGGTTTAAAGGTTACCTTAAAGTTGGATTTCTCAGGTAGCACACTGAGGATAGAGCGGGAGGCCTGACAGCACTTGAGATAGATTTGTGCTGAGCCATGACAGGCAGAAGGTAGGCGTCTCTTTGCAAGCGCTGAAGGGCCTGGAGCAGTCGATGTCTCTAATAGCATGCAGTCAGGCAGAGCTAAGACAGCAGGCTGTACAACTAACTGCGCCGTGTGAAGGTTTGAGGAGGACACTGATGGAGGCTGAGGTGCTTAAAAATAGGCTTCATTTGGGGGATGCATAAAGAGACCGTGCAATTTGAAGAATGTCTTAGCTAGAAGCAGAGAGGCGAGCTTAGAGGTGCCTGCCTGCCTCCTCTCTTGCTGAGCGTACGCATTTCCTCTGCCTCTGGGTCCAATACATATCACCTCCCAGAGGGAAGGGGCACCAACTCCAGGGGAACCTGGGGGCCCGGGCACCCACATTTTTGTTGTTGTGGGTGCTCAGCCCAGAGGTGGAGCTAGCTGCTCTGGCACCTGGAGCGGCGCACAAGCTGTGCACCTGGGGGAAGGGCCATGGGGGCAGGGTGAGCGTCCCAGGGGGTGAGCCGCCTGTGGGGGCAGAGCGAGCTGCTAATGGGGGGCGGAGCGAGCCACCCATGGTGGGCTGCTTCCTGGGCAGGGGGCAGGGAACTGCACCGCTTTGCCAGCACCTTCCCCCCTTCCTTCTTCCTTTTGACAGCTTGGGGGAGGCTCCCCCCCCCCCCGAGGAAGCAGCCCGGGAGTGAGGGACAATGGTGTGCTGCAAACCAGATGGGGCACGCCGCAGAGAAAAGAGGGGGTGGGATGGGCGAGGGGAGAGAAGAACTTCAGTAATAGTTGCAAGGTAGATATAAGAATTAAGATATATGAAGAAAAAGTTTACCATATTTTTCGCTCTAAAAAAGTAAGGTGAAATGTGTGTGCATCTTATGGAGCGAATGCAGGCTGCGCAGCGCTCCCTCTTGCTGTTCTAGCTTCTAGCTTAGCCGTGCAAAGCCTCTTCAGGACATGGGGAGCCTTCATCACACTACCATGAGGAGGCTTTGCACGGCTAAGCTAGAAGCTAGAACAGCAAGAGGGAGCGCTGCGCAGCGCTCCTCTGCTGTTCTAGCTTCTGGCTTAGCCCCTCAGTCCCTTCCCCCACCTCCTGGAAAAGCCCCCAAGAGCTGCGCTTCCTTTAAAGAGCCGCGTGGAGCGTGTGTGCGGCTCTTGGGGGCTTTTCCCCGAGGAGGGAGAAGGGCAGCCTGTCAGTGATGGAAAAGCCTGCAAGCGCTGCACACACGCTCCTCGCGGCTCGTGAAAGGGAGTGCTACTGGCTCTGCTTAGCACTCCTTTAAAGATTTTTTTTCTTGCATTCCCCCTCTTAAAACTAGGTGTGTTTTATGGTCAGGTGTGTCTTATGGAGCAAAAAATACAGTAATTATGATAAAAGTGTGTATTGGCAATAAGTAATATGAAATCGAAATATGAAATAGACGGGAGGTTGGGTTTTTAGTGTGAAGACCAATTTATGTTTTATCGTTTGTTAAGAAAATTATGTGTCTATGGTTATTCCTGTGTGTAATTTGGTATTTGTGTTTTCTCTTTCTCCTTTTCTTGCTGTATCAATAAATAAAATAAAAAAGAGAGAGATGTGGGGTGGGGAGCGGAGAAGGGAGTGGGGAGAAATCCAAGAGCAAAGGAAGGAGGGCGACTAGGGGGAAGATGGAAGCAACGTGAAGACGGGAGGCAGGCGAGAGGGAGGGACGAAGGGGGGTGAAGCCAGAGAAAGAAGGGGAAGGGGCGATCCAAGGCAGGGGGGCTGCGTGGAGCCTCTCTGCAGCCTCCCCGCCCCAGCTGTAGGGCGGTTGAGGAAGAGGCGGTAGGCAGGCACCTAGCGCCAGCTGCTTTACGTTACATTTCTGGACTGAACTAAAAAGTTTCATGAGCCCAATTTTTTTTTAAAAAAAAAACCCTCATATTTTTGTCATTTTGTCAGCCCCTCACTGTTCTGTCCAGACACTGAGGTCCAGCGCTGAGGGCCTTCTGGCGGTTCCCTCGCTATGAGAAGCCAAGTTACAGGGAACCAGGCAGAGGGCCTTCTTGGTAGTGGCACCCGCCCTGTGGAACGCCCTCCCACCAGATGTCAAACAGAACAATAACTACTGACATTTTGGATCTAGAAGGTTTTAACAATGTATTTGGATGGCATGCATATCTGTGGTATGATAAGGTCAAAGCACATAAAGCATTTAAAAAACATATTGTCAGGAAAGCATTGTTTAATGTCTGGATAAGATACAAGGACTTATTGGAAAATAAAACCCCAAGGTGGTTGTCACCGATGGAAGCAAAAGCTCTGAAAAAGCTCAATATGGAGGCCAAATGGCTGAAATATTGGGAAATTCTGGAACAAGATGGAGATAGACTGAAATTGCAGAGTTTTGAGAAATTAAAAACAAAGTGCGAGACTGGCTTCATTATTATCAGATAATGGAGGCATACAATTTGGACAAGAAAATTGGCTTCCAGGTGGAAAAATCAAAATTAGAAACAGAACTGTTAGAACCCAAAACTAAGATTTTGTCAAAAATGTATAACTTGCTGTTGAAATGGAATACTCAGGATGAAACGGTGAAACCTGCTATGATTAAATGGGCACAAGATGTTGGACATAACATAATGATGGCTGACTGGGAACAGTTATGGACCACAGGTATGAAGTTTACAGCATGTAATGCCTTAAGATAGAATATTATGAAAATGATATACAGGTGGTACATGACCCCAGTCAAGCTTGCAAAAATTTATCATTTGCCCGATAATAAATGCTGGAAATGTAAAGAAACTGAAGGTACATTCTTTCACCTTTGGTGGACGTGCCCAAGGATTAAGGCTTTCTGGGAGATGATATATAATGAATTGAAAAGGTATTTAAATATACCTTTTTGAAGAAACCAGAGGCCTTTCTCCTAGGCATAGTCGGCCAATTGGTGCCAAAGAAGGACAGAACTTTTTTTATGTACGCCACAACAGCAGCAAGAATACTCATTGCAAAGTATTGGAAGACACAAGATCTACCCACTCTGGAAGAATGGCAGATGAAGCTGATGGACTATATGGAACTGGCAGAAATGACTGGCAGAATCCGAGACCAGGGAGAAGAGTCGGTGGAAGAAGCTTGGAAGAAATTCAAAGACTACCTACAGAAATATTGTAAAATTAATGAATGTTAGAATGATGTTGGATAGAAATTAAGTGGTTTCCAGCTGTAATGCTTTAAGGGAATATGAAAAATGGGTTGTTAATAGGTAAAAATCTAATGTTACTATTTTAAGACCAAAGATTAGGATAAACAAAGAGGGTAAGGATTTGCTGAACCAACAAATTGAACTGGAATACAAAAAGGGAGGTATGAGGAGGTCTGGGAAACAAGCTAAGGAAAAATAAGTAATGGAAAAATTGAGTGGTTTTTAATCATTTTTATTTTGTATTTTGTATTTTTTCTTTTTCCCCCCTTTTTGTCATTTTTATATTGTAACATTTGGAAAATCTCAATAAATATCTTATAAAAAAAAAAGAGAGAGAAAAATAACTACCAAACTTTTAGAAGACATCTGAAGGCAGCCCTGTTTAGGGAAGCTTTTAATGTTTAATAGGTTATTGTATTTTAGAGTTCTGTTGGAAGCCGCCCAGAGTGGCTGGGGAAACCCAGCCAGATGGGCGGGATATAAATAAATGATGATGATGATGATGACACCCGGGAGGCCCACACCCCTGCACCCCCTTCCTACGCCCCTGCGCACAAGGTGCTGCTGAAATTTTAAAGCCCAAAGTCCACAACTGAGGTCTCTTGAACCTTCAGCTACAGCTCTCATTTATAGCTACATACCCACACAGATTCCCAACGTTTGGTAGGCCTCAAAGCATAACAATAGCACCCTCCAGTTTACCAAGCAGAAAATCGCTGTAGCTTATACACCTTTCGGCTTGCGCTGCAACGAGAGATGGGTTTCAATCCTTGGGAGATAAATCTCTTAAGAGGATCAGAAAACTTAAGGGGTAATGGAAAGCTGGCACGAAAATAAATGTCTCTGCTCCTCCACAAAAACAAAAGTTTTAAATGCAATTATTGCCTTGCCACAGCCTAAATCCCTGACTCCAAGGCAGTGGGTCAAATCTGTTTTCCATTATCTGCTGCACATGTTGATGTTATATATTATAAGCCCTATTACTTAAGTGCCGGCAGAGACAGATTGTAAGTTCTCTTTTCATACTGGGGCATTCGCCTCCGCCTGTTGTCTGTGCCACACAACCTAGAAAGCTTTAGGTTTCGATGGATTTCAAGAACGGGATAATTCACCGATCTCACTACAGGGGAGAGTGCTTTTGGAAAATGAGCTACACGGAAGCAGAGAGGCTGCGAGTTTCATTTCAATGTCAAAAAAGGAGAGGTGTTTTGAGTCCATGATGTCTGAAGGAATTGCTTTAAATGTGCACATATCCCAACCATAAGATGTCTGACTTTTTCCACTTCACTAGACAAATAGCAGCTTTGCACAGGGATTTTATATGGGAAAATAGAAACAAGTAGTAGTTATTCTTATTCTGTTATCAAAAATGCTCGTATTTTAAAACAAGTGTACCCTATTTTATTTCTAGTAGCCAGCCTTTCTAACAAATATTCAGCTAAATTGTTGACATTTTCAAATTTGCATTTGGGTCATTTTTGTCCATTAAAAATATGAACTATTATTCCTTCAGCCTGGGCAAATGCTGTATTTGAGATTTATGACATTTGGTAGTGTATCTTCACCATAAGGTTCCTGTGCAGGTTACCACAATCAAGTTAACCCTTCCCCATCCAGCTATGGATGGATGAATCTGTTGTTTCGGTGCCTCTCTAGTTCTCGTTTTTCCAGTTTTAAATTCACTTCTCCACTTTTCCACATCAGTTTGTAATTATTATTGCCGCACCCCACTGAGTGGTGAGAGATTCCAGGGGTTAAAACTCTTGCCCAGAGTTTGGCTTGCTTTGGAACAAAGATCAGCATTTGGGTATGTTGCTTTCACTAATGTATGTATTGTTTTGCACACTTTCCCCTTTTATAAGCGTGCCCTTTTATACACACTTTCTCTTATTCTGTGCATTTTTACGTACACTTTGCCCTGTTGTATCCATTTTCGTACCCGTTGCTTGGTTGGGCAACTGCATTGCAAAATTTGGGGGGGAAAACTGGCTTTCAAAGAATAATCTTTCTGGCTTACGTTTTGGTTCAAAAAGTGAAAATTAGGTAGTATCTTATTAAAATGCATGCAAAATTTGAGTTTCTTTCCCATCCCTAATAATCTCAACAGGGAATATAAGGTATTTCCTTTTGTACTTGCTGCCCCGGTAACATTGCTGGGGGTTTTGAGGTGCCCTTGAAAGCATTTAACTTCACCTGGATTTGAATCTAAGCATGTAACTGGGGGGGGAAAGGAGTAAAAATTTGATGATCTATAATGAAGGGGTAAGATTATTTATGTTTACACCTATGGGCAGACCCTACCATGCCTTGTGGGAGACAAATTATAAGCATAAATTGTACAGTCATATAACAAACTGAGATGGATCCAAGAAGTTTAGAATTATTGCCAGCTTTTTTTTTTAAGAAAACTTAAAAATATTGGGGCATAAATGGAAAATGAAGGGTATAAATAGCAGTATCCCAGTAAAGCATATGAGATGGGACTGCTCCATAAGCTAATATTTCAAGGTGTTCATAGGGTGGAGATGTCACATTGGCAAAAGACGGGCAGCGTGATCAATATTTGGCAAGCAATGCCAAAAACATGTTGAAGTAGATTGTGCAATAAATATGCACTCACGTGCAGAGAGACCATAAATCAGACCAACACATCTTGTGAACCACTGGGGTAAATGAAGCCCGCCAGCCCCATCATGATTTAGAAGTACTCCACAACCCACCATTTTTGAAGTCCCAGATGTGAGAAATACTAAATCAGTCCATTTCTGGGTAGGCTTTCATACACAGGCAGTCAGTTCCATTCAGCTTAGCTGCAGGTTGTACAGGCCTGAACATGCATAAGCTGCAGATCTTTGCTGGACTTTTTCCTTTCAGCTCTGGGAAGGTGAGCAAACATTTTCATGAAGTTGTTCCAACACACCTTTCCCACCAATTCTGGCAACTCTTTCGCAGCCTGGTTGAGAGTGGGAGCCCACAGCTGCTGGCACATGCCTTTATTTTCTCTCCACACTCCTCCAGAGTGAAGGTAAGAAGTACTGTCCTCACTCTGGTTTGGCTTCATGATGGTATCACATGACATCAGCAGTGATGGTCAAGGCTTCCTGCCCTCACCCTGGAGCTTTGTAAGGAGGGAAAGGATTACAGTGGCATCTGCCAACAACTGGAAGCACAGCCATCATAGTTCCCACACCCTGGTTGCATCCTTACCCATCAGATTGCCAAGATGCACTTTCACAATTGTGTATGTTTTGAAAAGAATGGCGATCTTGCACATGTGTCTACAGTTTGTCTCAGCACAAACATCAATATGAAAAATCCATGAAAAATCCATCATAGAGGCATACAATAGAATCAAACAGCTCAAACGTTCAGGAAATTCCTCCTAATGTGTAGTCCAATCCATTGATTCAGGTCCTACATGGAGCAACAGGAGACAAATCTATAATGCTGCAATTACACCACTGTATCCAATGATCTGTGGGCTGTATCATCACAGAAGCAGTCAAGTACAACATATTCCTGATGCCTAGAGTGGACACACAGGGGAATGTGTCTCCAGACAGGGAGGACTTCCTGTCATACCTTTTCTGGAGCCTCCTCCCCTTGTGTATGACCAGGTAGATGGGTGTGACCCTAGCAGACCCTGTGAAAGGGAAAGCCACGCAGTCATCTTCCCTTTTTCCCTTTACTCCTTTCGGAGTCCTCTTCTGGCTCTTATCCAGCACATGGCTCATCTTTACAGAGGATGGAAGCCACAAAGTAGAAAGTCCGAGGCATAGCTCAAACTTCTCAGCTAAAAAAGCCAATGCAATTCTGGGCTGCATCAATAGGAGTATAGCATCTAGATCAAGGGAAGTAATAGTGCCACTGTATTCTGCTCTGGTCAGACCTCACCTGGAGTACTGTGTCCAGTTCTGGGCACCACAGTTCAAGAAGGACACTGACAAACTGGAACGTGTCCAGAGGAGGGCAACCAAAATGGTCAAAGGCCTGGAAACGATGCCTTATGAGGAACGGCTAAGAGAGCTGGGCATGTTTAGCCTGGAGAAGAGGAGGTTAAGGGGTGATATGATAGCCATGTTCAAATATATAAAAGGATGTCACATAGAGGAGGGAGAAAGGTTGTTTTCTGCTGCTCCAGAGAAGCGGACACGGAGCAATGGATCCAAACTACAAGAAAGAAGATTCCACCTAAACATTAGGAAGAACTTCCTGACAGTAAGAGCTGTTCGACAGTGGAATTTGCTGCCAAGGAGTGTGGTGGAGTCTCCTTCTTTGGAGGTCTTTAAGCAGAGGCTTGACAACCATATGTCAGGAGTGCTCTGATGGTGTTTCCTGCTTGGCAGGGGGTTGGACTCGATGGCCCTTGTGGTCTCCTCCAACTCTATGATTCTATGATTCTATGATTCTATGATTCTTTTCTCTGCAAATGTAACTGTAACCACAAGATAAAGCCTGCCTTCAGATTACTGCTGTGAACTGAATGTAAGTAAACTTTACTCTTACTTTTAAAGAAGACTGTTGTGTTATTATTATTATTTTAAGAGGGGAATAAAAGGGGAAACTTACCAGGACCAATCCAGACTGGGTTGCTTAATTTAAATGATTCTAATGAATCTATCAATGTGCTCTGCTGCTTGCTCACTAGCGTGAGTGAGGAGGGATAATATTTAATCAATATATCCTCTCCTACCTCCATCAACATTCCCACAGGCTCAAGAAAGTAGTTTCTGCACTTGTTGTAGAGGGAAGTGAGGGGTAGACGGGGCTCATCAACCTGGGAAGGAAGCCCACCTAGGAGAAGGAAAACTCTTATCCTAAACCTCCACTACCTTGAAGCATATCTATGGGAGAAGAAAGAGCTAAGGAGTAAACCCTACACAAATCCAGAGCGGGGTCCCTAAGGCAGTTGAATGCTGCCTTGTACGCTTCTTTCTGGCAGCTCCTGCAGCTAAGCTGGTGCCAGACACATTGCTCTGCTTTCCTTTGGACCACATGAGTGAGGATGAGAGTGGCGTATTGTCGTCTTGGCAGCCCAGGACCTCCGTACACACTGTCCAGGCTTGAGCACAGGGGAGGTCACATCAATGTTGCAAACACAATGGTTTGACCATCGGACCAGTGGTGGCACACTTCAGTCTCTCGAGACAGACGGGTGCCAACAATAAGACTGCTGTAATGCTAGCAGCACTAACGACAGCTTGGGTATTGGGATGTGAAACAGCAGCATCAAACATATGTTCTTGTGATCAACACACACACACACACCCTTGAGAATATACTGGATGCAGTTACTCCCTGATGTAGTCCTGAAATTCTAAGGCTAAGATTAGAAAACAGTTTATGTTTCTTGAACAGGGCCCATTCACGCCCACCTCAAGCCACCTATGACGTCACGTTTTTGGACTCTAAGGGCATTTTCATAAGGCATGAATAATCCCTGTTGTTAAGAGGCGTTAGAACTAAGGAAGGCCCAGAATCCAGCTGAGAGTACTCAAAGCGTTAGGCATACCTGAAGTAGCATTTTGAATCTCAGCCTCTGAATACATTCTTGCCAATTGTGATTCTTACATGGCTACTGCTTGGTCATGATCTACGGCCTCTTATGCAGCTGCATGAAGATGTTTCAATTCGTGCAGGAGGAACCGTGGCATTGGTTATTTGGGCAATTACACCCCATGAAATCAGAGCAATATGTTTCTGGTTTACAGGCTTCCTTGTACAATTAATTACCAGGACGCATTGGGTTGGATCCAGAGATCCATAAGTGGAAGGTTTTCACATCTTCTTCTTTGGCGATCATTCCTTGTCGAGTAAGATTGTCTTCCATAAACACAGTTTTAACAATGAGTCCCTAAGTGACTGTTGAGGCCAATTCTGGAACCACACGTCCTTCCAAAGTGGGGACATTGGTTTCCAGGCGGGAGTTGATCACGGTGTGGATTTGCCAAGTATGCCTTCCTCTTAGCACGTTTCTCCCTTGCATCCCGAGTTTGAGGGTCTTCAAAGCCCATGACACCTTTGGTAAAGGCTGTTTTCCAACTGGAGCGCTCGCAGGCCAGTGTTTCCCAATTGTGGTGTTTATACTACATTTCCCCCCAATTGTGGTGTTTATACTACATTTTAAAAAATGATATATCTTAATCAGCCAAGACACAAGCAAGCCTTTTGCCCGTGTATACAACCCTTTTGCTCCTCCGTCACAGTGTAGCTTCATTCAACCAAGATGTTTCTACTTAACAGTCATTTTGCATTTTGTCAGAAATGGTTTCCAGAGCAAGCCAGGATCTTTACACCAGCTCTATTTGCCCATGGCATGGGCTTTAGCTTGCATTGTGGGAAGGATGGGAGGCAAGCACGCCAGACAAACCAACCCCCTGTTTTTCCTCTTAACTTCACCACTGCCATCTCTTAGTTTTCTCTGGCTGCCTCCGCTAAACAACCCTTAATCAATCTGGATTTCAACTGGCCCAACCTACTCCCAATACTAGGTAGAGTAGTACAGCACGTAGGTGTGGAGTGAATAAAACAGCTTCAGAAGAATTCCCTCCCTCCACGCCCCCCACCAAAAATAAGCTTTTACTGGAGGATTTAATAAGATAACATTTTTTTGATACAATAGTTTTAGGAACAGAATAGGACAAAATGACAGGAAGGATTTGAAACCTGTGGGACCAGAGATTTACAGAAGATTGGAAGGAGTATATGAATTATTTGAAGAGCAACTGGTAATCAACAAATTACGCTAGTAGGACTACAAGAAGTTTTGTAAGGAGAAATATACGAAGTGTTACAAAGTAGAAAAAGATAGAGATATTGGTTATGAGATTGAAATGTAATAGGGAAAATAAGAAATGCATGCTAAGAGATTAGACTGGGAAATTTTCAGACAGGACTGATGGAAGTCAAAAAAAGTGAATAAGATGTAAAAGTATGTTTAATTACTCTTGAAAATGATATGTTAAAAAACTAATATATATATATATATATATATATATATATATATATATATATACACACATATATATAAAACACAATAGTTTTAGGAAGGGAAGTCAATTTTACAGTTTGAGTAATTACCCATGAGATTGAATTGAAAAACTAAACAGTGAAAAACGCATTCTGCTATACCTCTTCTATGCTGCTGCCTTAACCAAGCCAATTATCAATTTCCATCCATCAGTTCAGCTTCTGGATCCATGGTCCTCTCCTGGTTTCTTCCTCCTGCAGTGTCCAGCAATTCTCTCACACTTCCCAGTATTTCTGTTCTTCTAAAGTATGTCAGCCCCTTTTCTCTCTGGCAGATTTCCAACTCCAACACTTCAAGTTTCTGACTATACAACCTTGTCATTAGGCACTTACTTACTAGCTTAAACAATCTCCATCCCAAACTTTAGCCAGTCAGGAAAAGGGTAGAGTTAGGTTTTTATTGCTCCTTAACAGTCAGGTTCCTAGGATGGACCTTTGACCTTCTTCTGAACTACTTCCTGAGCAAAGCATACCCTTCTGCTTTGAAGCTTCCGGGATACTTGTGCCTTCTGCGCACCAAAACCAGCCATTTTACAAACAAAACCCTGACACAAAATGCCCTAAAGTCTATTCTTTCACACAAGGATCTTGCACTTAATCAGGAAATTCCCTTCCTGAAAAAGAAGAGCTCCTCTGAAGTCAACCTTGAAAGCTTTATTTGGGGGCAGGTGTAATATTTGTGCACACAACTGTCACACAACAGGAAGGAGAAACAAAAATGGTTTACCTTCCAAAGTATTCCTGAAGCTGAAATTGGCCATTTTGTCCATGGTCCCTGCTTCATATTGGGTCAGGCTTAAGCAGAACTCGACCTCTTCTGAAGATGGAAGCCTGGGAGTTCTCCCTTTGTCGTGGTTCCCAGGATTTCGAAGCACAGGACCTTCGTTGGTGCCATTGCAGAGCTCTTGGCGGCTGTTGTACTCTTCTGAATGGCTGCAAATCACCTACGAGATACACATATAGTATTGCAACTGGTGCATTGAGAAGTAAAGCTGCTTTTAGAAGTTCTGGTGCCCCATTTCAGTTAAGGAGATTTGTGCATGTAATCAAAGCTACCCAAACATTATATACTGGATCTGTGGGCCAAAAAAAAATCAGATCCAGATCAAATTATGAATGCTATCCATTTGCACCAAATTTATTCGATTTGTAACCCAACTTTTGAAGACATTCTGATTGGCAAATAGTGTAGGACAGGAACAGTATAGAAATGATACCCTACATACAACAGTGTACAACAGTACACTGAATGTACACTATCATGCAAGTGAGTACACTCTCTTAAATGCATATTATGGACAAACCCTAATGGGAATTGTAGGCCGCAGATTACCATGCATCATTTATTGAGAGGGTATTTGGTGTATAATCCATACCTGCATTTACCAAGGAGACTGGGGGATAGACTGGAGGAGAAAAAAGAATTAAGTGCATACATGATAGCCATTTCCACATATCTAAATGACTGTGACATGGAAGATGGAGCAAGTTTGTTTTCTCCTGCTCTGGAGGGTAGGACTCGAACCAATGGCTTCAAGTTAGAAGAAAGGAGATTCCAATTAAAGATCAGGAAGGACTTTCTGATGGTTAGAAGTCAGAGCTGTTTGGCAGTAGAATTGACTCCCTCAGAAAGTGGTGGGCTCTCCTTTGGAGGTTTTTAAAGGGAGGTTGGAGGGTCATCTGTCATGGATGCTTTAGTTGAGATTCCTGCATTGCAGGGGGTAGGACTGAATGACCTTTGGAGATCCCTTCCAACTCTATGATTCTATGCACTGGGCTAGACCTGTAGCCAATATAATTCAATTCCCTTATCTGTCAATGACCATCACCAGATGCTTCCACCGACATGCAAGAACCTCAGGACAGGCAGATGTGAGATAATCTACTCTTTTAAAACCTCACCATAATCCATATTCAGTCAGAGGTTTTAGCTCTGAAGCAGGAGAATTCTTAATTCCTTCCCAAAGTGCATCATTACACGGCTTGGTTCTGGACAGATACATTTGTGTCCCTGCCCCCCCCTCCCCTCACTAATATGGATCACCAATCCCTGCTGGAATTTGACAGCGTTGTTAGCTTTTGTTTCACCATGGAAACACATTCTGCTGTTTCATTACACATGAAGCGAAAGGGCATTTCCTTCGATCATATTCGAAATCTGCGACTTTTTCAACCGCAACAAGGATCCGCTTGTCCTTCCCATAACTTCCTGCCGCGACACACTTTCGTATCTTGTGGAATTTTGTGAAAGAAGTAATTCTTAAAATACCTGCTCTTCACAAGGTGGGTTAGTTCATGTCCTGGTATGATCACCTCTTTGAAATTCTGTTTTATTCACCCGTAACAAAGCAGATACTTAGACACCGGAAACTGAATGAGCAAATGAACAGTGGATCAGATGCCATCTCACACGTTAACTCAGAAATGGAGGGGGCAGGGCTGGGCACATCTGAACAACAGACAGGTGCAAACCTAAATGTCCCTAATTTTATCCTACATTAAATCTCAGAACTGAACAAGTGTGAATTGAGCTTAACAGAGCCGATTTCTTTCACACATGGCATCTACTTATCCATGATTGTGCAATGAGGCAGTCCAGAGGTGGGACAGTTATTCCCCATAAGTGGAGGGTGCAGTTTCAATCCTACCTGCCAGCCTCATACATGGGGATACATGCATCCAACTAAAGAATCCTTATGTATTGTGTCTCAACTGCGAAGGGTGCATTCAGAATTAGAGCTGTACCTGTTTTAAAATGACTGTGGACATGCCCACAAGGTGGTGATAGATACGCCTGGTAGCTAATTGTTTTTGCCAGAAGCCGAACTGCAGCAGAGCAGATACAGCGCTGCATATGCTGAATACACATCCAGACGCTCCAAGTGTCCCTATTTTCCAGGGACAGTCCCGGATTTACAGAAGCCGTCCCAGTTTCTGATTTGATCCTGGAATGTCCCACTTTTCCTTAGGATGTTCCTATTTTCATCGGAGAAATGTTGGAGGGTATGGAGTTATGTGACACCCGAGAAAAAGAGATAAGTAACTATACAACCTTTAAAAGACACCTGAAAGCAGCCCTGTGTAATTTTATTATACAGTGGTACCTCGGGTTAAGAACTTATTTCGTTCTGGAGGTCCGTTCTTAACCTGAAACTGTTCTTAACCTGAGGTACCACTTTAGGTAATGGGGCCTCCCTCTGCCACTGCCACACGATTTCTGTTCTCATCCTGAAGCAAAGTTCTTATCCCGAGGTACTATTTCTGGGTTAGCGGAGTCTGTAACCTGAAGCGCCTGTAACCTGAAGCGTCTGTAACCCGAGGTACCACTGTATATGTTGGAAGTTGCTCAGAGTGGCTAGGACAACTCAATCAGATGTGCAGGGTATAAATTTAAAAAATGATGTTGATGGTGGTGGTGATGGTGATGGAATAGGACATCTCTATTTTTATCGGAGAAATGCTGGAGGATTTGTAATTGTAGCCAATTAGCTCCTGGGCTATGATTAAAGTGCTGGGATTTTTGCAGATAAAGCCCTATACAGCTTGGAACCAGGAAGCCTGAAAGATCCTCACTCCTTATGCACCCGGTCGAATGCTGCACTCTGCCAGGAGATCCACAATGTAGGAAGCAGGCCTTGAGTGGGGTGGCCTCTACCTTTTGGAATTTCCTCCCCTTGAATATTAGACAGGCATGTTAGGAGTTCAGCCTACATTTGAATAAGACCCTGGCAGAGACACATGCCCGACTGGCATGTTCTCTCCCTCCTGGTCAATCGTTCGGGAGATTCAAAAGCTTTCTTCAGCCCGAACATCACAGCAACCGATGCCAACAGACACCAGCACACTTAGGGATCCGCAGAGTTTGCGCATTTCATGTGACAGACCTCAGCAACTCAGCATTTTGGCTAATCTACTTTATTTACATATAAACACACACGGAGCACTGCAACATGGCTCCCTCTCTCTCTAGCATCAGACAGCAAAGGGAAAACAAGAACAAAGGACAATAGTCCCACTTCACGGAACACAGTAACACAAACATCCTGTCTCTGTCACTTCCCACTTTGTGGAGTCAAAACATACACCTTCATGTGACAGACAAAAATCCCATGACTACAATCATGGAGCAGGAATTCTAACAAGGCACAGTCCCTGTTATTTTCCTGGTGCCTACTGAAGACCTTCCTCTTTCAAACAGCCTTTTTTTGGAGGGGGGGTAGAGAACCAATGGTGAACATAAACTGGAATTGTATTTAATATGTTTTAATAGTTTCATCATTTTTTTTGTTTTCTGCCCTGGGCTCCGTTGGAAGGAAGGGCAGGACATAAATTTTAAAAATAAAAAATCAATAAAATAAGCACAAAGAATATCAATCCCCTCCTTCTACCCTCACAACCCTCACCATGATCGCGGCTTTATGTAACACATCGTGTATATGAAAATAACTATCTTCCTGCCGCTGCGAGATATTTTCCTATCACATCTACTTGTGATTGAAAATGATGTGTTGTGGGTTTTTAGTATCTTAGAAGACAGAAACAGGATTCAAGATGATCTTGACAGGTTGAGAAACTGGGCCAAAAGCTAAGAGAAATGAATTTCAGCAGAGGCAAATGTTAAGTTTTGCATTTAGGTGGGTGTGTGGTGGTGCTGAGGAATTAGATGTACAAATATAGGATGGTTGAAGCTTGGCTTCACAGCAGTATTTGTGAAAAAGAATACAGGGGTTTTGGTAGACCACAAGCCAAGTGTGAATTAGCAGTGGGAAAGGGGCTCATGCAATTCTAGGTTGCACCAACAGAAATATATTACCGGTACTTTATTCAATGTTAGCCCTACTCAGAGTTGGTTAGGGATGTTGGAGAATTCTGATGGAAGCAAAAGTGGACACTGCCAGTGTTCACTTATTCATCCCATTTCTGAAATAGAAATCAGTCCAGCAATTAATGATTGTCATACACGGTTGTGGTTGTTTTCAGTCCAAAAATGATGCACAATGGATTACTCCCCACCCCCAATTTAAATGACATTTCCATTGCACTGAAATAGAGGCCATAGACATTAAGACGAAAGGCATATATCATTACGATATATGCATAACTTATGTATGGTACAGTACTCATTTTAGGTTAAATAGCAGACAGTGATGGAAAACATAATATTCAGCAGGCACCGAACTGCAGCAGAACGGAAAGAGTGCTGATTGTGATGAAGACAGATTGGAATAGAAATCACTGCCTTCTTGCTCCCATAGAGTAGACCCATTGAAATGAATGGACATGACTCACTCAGGTTTCTTAATTTCAATGGGTTGCACTCACTGTGGTGCTAAGCAGATTTTCTCTTGAGGAATGGAATAATCTCACCCTCTGCTGTCCCTGCCTGGCACCTAAATCTGTTCTGGGTTTTCCCCCATCCCCCCAGAGAAGATTTGGGGATGGCACAATTTGACAAATTGATGGAGGAAAAGGGTTTCAATGGCTGCTAACCCTGATGGCTTTGTTCTACCTCAACTGTCAGAGACAGTAATGTTTCTGAATCCCAGTTCCTGGACACCATGGGAGGAGGAGGGGAAAGGCACTCAGTTCCCGCTTTTGGGCTTCCCAGAGGCAACTGGTTGGCCACTGTGAGCACAGTGGACTGGACAAGAAGGGCCTGAACAAGCAGGGCTTTTCTTATGTTCTTAGAAATCACAACATTGGAACTCAGGGTGGTATTCAACTAAGCTTTAGTAGGAGCAGACCCACTGAAATTAATGGGTCAAATGTCATCATGTCCGTTCATGTCAATGTTGAAGTCAGAGTAGCAAAATCGCAGCTAAGAAGCTCAAATGACTGAAACCCTTCTTTTGGACATTAAGCCAATGTCCAGACTTTAACATTCAAAAACTTTACTTGCAGAAAATTACAGTTATGGAAGAATTAAAACATAATATTTACAGTCATATGCTTCTCCAAGCATGAGCTTATAATTTCTTCTTCTAACTTCCAAACAACTGTATTTTCCTGTTTCCAGAGCTCAGCACTTTCAGCCTTCTGTATCTCAGAAAGGCCGTGCCTTGCAGCTCCTATGAGAGATTTCCACTTTTATCTTCTCCTCCAGCTTTGCTCTCTTTCTTCCAAGCAGAGAAGAAGCACTCTGACACTCTGTTCAACTTAGCAGTGTTCACAGTGGATTCTAAAACACAGCCATCTTGCTTCACATAAAATGAAGTCTCTCCTTCGCACCTCCCATGTGACCAACATTAGCCAATCACATGAGAATTGCTAAAGAACTCTCTGGAATTCATTTACCAACCAATCAAATTTAAACACATGGTAATACATACAAGCATTTGCAATTTCGTTGAGTAAATTGAGTAAAACATAATTGAATACCTATTCACTCAGTGGCAGAGCACACGTTTTGCATGGGAGAAAGGCATAGGTTCAATTGTTGATGTCTGCAAGCCGAGGTGGGGAAGACTCCTGCTTTGAGAGCCTCTTCCTCTCAATGTCTCCTGAGGTAGATGGACCAGTGGTCTGACCCTGGTATATAATGCCGCTTCCTTTGTTCCTATTCTAGTGTCATTGTCAGAATCCTTGCAGGAAAGCAATTCAAAATCTGGCCTTTGATTCATGTTGGTATGACAACAGTGTTTCTCCCCAGCACTTCTCGTTACCTCCAAAGAAACACCCACCCTGACTTCTCTTCTAACCTTCTTAGAACCATGTTTTCTTCTCTATAAATAAAGTATAGATATGCAAACATTTCATACCCATCTAAAGGCATTCAACCAATGTATGAAATCAATTCTAATTTTACAGCTACTTGCATTCACTACCTTTGTTCATTCAGATTGCAGGGGAAACAGAGCATACAGTGGAACATTATCTCGGAATTTGTCGTTTTCAAAAGGGTGTGAGTGAGAACAATGACCATATGAGAGTTTAGAATACGGAGGTGGGCCAGGGGTGTGCACACAAGCATCAACCTCAATGTGCCTGGGCGTGGGGTTTGTTTGCATATCTTCATGCGTTCAGCACAAAGTCTGAAAATGGTTTCTAAGCATATTCTGTTGAATAAGACTAAGATGGAGTTCTCCATCTCAGGGAAGCCATTAAGACTGTGTGCACATCATACAGTTAAAACACATGGCTTCTCCCAAAGCATAACGGGAACTGTAGTTTGCTAAGGGGAATGTGAATGGTTGCACCATGGAGATAAAACTGCAGTTCCCATGATTCTTAGGGGAAGCCATGTGCTTTAAAGGTATGTTATGCACCCAGCCTAAGTGTTTTCAACAGAGGAATGCTTAGGAACTCTTTTCAGACCTTCTCATTAAACTTCTGGTCATCAGCTTCTTTGGGCCTGTGGGCACATCTGAAAACCGAAGAAACTGTGGTGAGGACCATACATGCACTGCAACCACAGCTCTTACCACCAGGAATTTCTTCCTGAGGTTTAGTCAAAATCTCATTTCTTGTTTTTTGAATCCATTGGTTGCTACCCTCTGGAACAGCAGAAAACAAGGCTGCTCCATCTTCCATGTGGTGGCCCTTCAGGTATTTGAAGATGGCTATCATATCACCTCTCGATCTTGTCTTCTTCAAGCTAAACATACCCAACACCCTCATATGGTTAAGTGAACGCCTGAACAAGTGTCAGGGACTGGGCAGAGGAGAAATGGTGGAGACCGCCTCCCCGGCCTGACCCTTCCAGGGAGGAGGAAGAGGAAGGCAGTTTAGATTTACAACAGGGATTTGTTGGAGGTCACAGCTCAGAGGCAGATGAGGTGGAAAGTTGGGAAATAATGGGAGGGAGGGAAGAGGAGGAGGGGGAGGAGAAGGAAGCAACAGAGGGATGACAGCTGACAGACATGGTGTCCTTAGAAAGCATTTCAGACCCCCCTCTCCCAGAACCCAGTGAGCCTTGAAAGTAGGAAAGCAAAGAGCACAAAGACAGAGGGCACATAGCTTTAGGTCTGCAAATGTTGTGAAACTGATTACTTCCCCTACCCCTAATTTGCATTGTATTTCCTTTGCAACGGGTGGAATAGCATAATGATGATGTAGTTAATTACATAAGTGGTGTAAGTTTGGTAATTTTGCCACAGCAGACAGCGAGGTGGGCGGGAGGCAAACTGCAGCAGAACAGCAACAGGGCTGTGTGTTACTAATACGGGGTGAAATGGGAGGGATGCCTTTTGCATCTCTAAGGAGCGTTAGATTTTTATTTTATTTTTCTTTTAAAAGTGCTTTCAGGTTTTCCTCAGTCCTTGGGTTCCCTTTGTTCATCAGTCCAGCAGCGTGGGAGAGCCTTTTCGGTGAGATGAAATCCATTTTGGGGGGGGTTTTAAAAAAGAGATTAGCTTTCGGAGGGATGTGTTTGTGTGTGGGAACATAAACTGTTTTTGACAGTTTGATCGCAGGAGCAGGTACCTCAGAAGACTGTAAACATGAGAGAAGCATGCTTTGCACTTGCAGAGGAGTAACAACAGTTGGCTGAGGGAAAAGGAAAAGGTTGGGCTGCGTGAGGAGTGGGGGAGAAGTCAGCATTTTAGCATGCATTCACAGTTATCGCTGTTTCCATGGCAACATCTCCACGGAATAAAGTATGCTCTCCTTTCTTTCGAAGAGGGGAAGCAGAGTTTGAAATGGATACTTCACATAACCCCCCAAACAACAAATCCACAACAAGTCTTGAGTGCTCCCTGATCTCCTGTGTAAGTGTCATTATATTATTGCAGTTCAAAAAGCTGTTTCTTTGAGACTCCCCTGTGAAAGAAAGTGTTTTTTTCTTTTAAAAAAGATGCTTTTGCTTCTTATTTGCCCACTGAATTTCCACAAAGCCCTGAATAGCCTACCTCCTTCATCCTTTTTTTTTTCATTTTGTTCTGGACTTGACAGCCTTCTGGCATTAAATCTCTCTTCCTCCACCCCATTTTCGAGCGCATTCTCCTCTTGTTTACACTGCTGGGAGTTGCAAGAAATCTCCCTGAATTCTGAACTTAACCCAGTTTGAGAGGGATCAAAAGCTGTTTAATGAGTTGTGTGAAAACTTGCAGGAATCTTTTGTAATTGCCTAAGTCAGGAGTGGGAAACCTCAGACTTGGGGTGTGTATGTGTGAATTGTGGCCGCCAGGGGACTTGCCCCAAGCAATACCTTCTCTGTAGGCCATACCTCACCTGCTCTATTCAGTGCACATCTTGACTGCTTTTGCCTGACTGAAATGTCTCATTGATCTGCATTAATACCTGCTCCCCACTTTTGCATTTATACTATAGTAAAGGTAAAGGGACCCCTGATCATTAGGTCCACTCGTGACAGACTCTGGGGTTACAGCGCTCATCTCACTTTATTGGCCGAGGGAGCCGGTGTACAGCTTCCGGGTCATGTGGCCAGCATGACTAAGCCGCTTCTGGCGAACCAGAGCAGTGCACGGAAACCTCCGTTTACCTTCCCGCCGGAGCGGTACCTATTTATCTACTTGCACTTTGACGTGCTTCCGAACTGCTAGGTTGGAAGGAGCAGGGACCGAGCAACGGGAGCTCACCCTGTTGCGGGGAATTCGAACCGCCGACCTTCTGATTGGCAAGCCCTAGGCTCTGTGGTTTAACCCACAGCGCCACCCGTGTCTCACTATTTATAGTATAATTTTCTATTAATATAGTATATATTTTTCTATAATATTATATATATATATATAGAATAAAATATTTTATATAATATCTAAAATATTTTCTCTAATATAGTCTAATTACAGTATAATTATAGTATAATTTTCTATTAATTCTTTTTCACAATAATCTTCATATCAAATAGTTGCATTGCTTCTTAAATTGACTTCCCACCTCCACTTCTGCGGTGTTTCTACTCACACCTTTTCCGCTACATTATATCTTTATCTATTACAAAACAGATAAAATCTCCTTTGTAATTATTTTATCATTTCCCTTCTGCTTCTTTTATCTTGAATCCTGGCCACAATTTCATTTGACTATAGTATTTTTAAAAAAATAGTCCATGAAAGGCCTCCCTTCTTCTATATAAAAACGTTCATCATTCTGATCTCTTAATATCACTGTCATTTTGCCATTTCTGCATAATCCATCACTTTCAAAAGCCACTCTTCCTTTGCTGGAACTTTCTCTCCTTTCCATTCCTGTGCATATCATATTCTAGCTGCGGTTGTCACATACATAAATAGTTTTGCCATCTTCTTTGGAACCCCTGTCCCTATTATGCCTGTAAGGAAAGTTACCTGAAGGAGCGTCTTCACCCCCATCGTTCAGCTCTGAGGGTCTTCTGGCAGTTCCCTCCCTGTGAGAAGTGAGGTTACAGAGAACCAGACAGAGGGCCTTCTTGGTAGTGGCGCCCTCCCTGTGAAACACCCTCCCATCAGATGTCAAGGAAGTAAACAAATATCTGACTTTTAGAAGACATCTGAAGGCAAACCTGTTTAGGGAAATTTTAAATGTTTGATGTTTTAGCGTGTTTTTCATATTCTGTTGGGAGCTGCCCAGAGTGGCTGGGGAAACCCACCCAGATAGGTGGGTATAAATAATAAGTTGTTGTTGTTGTTGTTATTGCTGCTGCTGTTGTTGGTGTCGTTGTCTTTTGGGAAGAGCCTGCTCCCCGCTTTTTCAAAAAAACATTTAAAAAAATTCTTCCAGTAGCACCTTAGACACCAACTAAGTTTGTTATTGGTATGAGGTTTCGTGTGCATGCACAGCTTTAATTTTTGTTTTGACTACTGCAGACCAACACGGCTACCTCCCTGCTTTTTCAGTCATCAATCCTATGCACAAGAAGCTGGCACAAAGCATATCAGTTTAGGTTAACTTGGCACTAAGTTACACCAGATCAAAACTATGTTCAGCAGTGGGGCAACTGCTGCCATGCCTAAGCCTGCCGAAAGGAAAACAAGCCTTTTAAAATAGTGTTCTGCATCACGTTGCCAGGTCGCATGACTGAGCTGAAAGTGCTTAGGATCCAGCCTAAGTCTTCTCTTGAGGGTCCCTTCTGAGTCACACCCCTGGAATTCCCCCTTTGCCAGGGACTTACAGCAGCCCAGGCTGAGGCGGGTGAGCAAGTTAAACCAGTGTATCTTCAGCTGACCCAGATTTGGGGACTTAACAGCGACTGAGCTAGAGTTCCTTTGCTCATCCTAAGCAGGTCTTGCCATAGAATTGCCCCCCCCTTTTTTAAAAAAACAACAAATTTTTTTATTTGCAGATTTATCAAGGGAAAGAAAGAAGGAAACAAAACGAGATGAGAAGAAAGAAGAAAGAAATAGATAACAACAACAATAATAACCAAATAATATAACAATAGACCATCAATCCACATTGTGGGTACAGTGACCATCAGTTCAGGAATCTTAAATTGGACATATAAGCTGATATAAGCCTTGCAGTTGCGCACATGGGTATCAACACAAAATTGATGCCCATTTGAAATATGCTTGAATGTAGCCTGGTCAGGGGACCATTGCAAAAAAAATAATAAAAATAAAAATGGTGGGTGTTTATCCTTCCAAGCTCAAAGTGTAAGTCTCTTAGCCACCATAAGAACTCACAAAATCCATTTTTTCTTGTGCAGCCATTAATCCCCATGCTACAGGAATATAGTTTAAAAGTACACGGACACTTGCAAATATCACGGATTTCCCCAGTACAACATTTCTGTAACTGCTTCAGACCAACTGGAATTCACGCCTGGCCAAGCCATGTCACATGCCTCAAAAGAGGCATTCTCAGCATTCAAACTCCAGCATCTGTCTGTGATAGACTGTACCTTTCTATGCAAACATTGTGGAGTCCAATATACAATGGTACCTCGGGTTACATACGCTTCAGGGTACATATGCTTCAGGTTACACACTCCGCTAACCCAGAAATAGTGCTTCAGGTTAAGAACTTTGCTTCAGGATAAGAACAAAAATCGTGCTCCGGCGGCGCGGCAGCAGCAGGAGGCCCCATTTGCTAAAGTGGTGCTTCAGGTTAAGAACAGTTTCAGGTTAAGAACGGACCTCCGGAATGAATTAAGTACTTAACCCGAGGTACCACTGTACTTGATATATTAACACCTTTTCTTTATATGGGTGAAGAATGGAAGCCTCTGACATTTGCATGACTGACGTGTGTCATCATCACGCACGTGACCTCTGGCAAATGCACCTTTTTCGGAGCCAAAAGGGGCTAGGGCAGGGGAGGAACATGGTGGGTTGGTGTGGGGTGGGAGCAGGCCAAGGGAGGGGCGGACTGGACTGGGACTTCTGTATGTCCCATGGGTGTGCGGGGCAGCCAGGAATGGAACCCCCACTTAAGCAGGGATTCCTCTGCATAGCCTACTATACAAAAGTGAAAATTGCATCTCTTGCTCTGCCCACTTTTGCCTCTGGCCACACGCACCATTGGCATGCAACCCCCCCCCCCCCCGAGATTGCCCACAAAGGAATGGGCTGGGGCAGCACCACTAAATAGAACTCCAGTCAGTCACGTCACTGGGAGGTCAAAGGAGAGGGGGGTAGGGAATTACAAGGTCAGCGCAGTGCAAATGCACCCGACTGGCTCTGCAAGTGCGTTTGCACCGTGCTCTCCTCACCGCAGCCTCGCCCAGTAATCAGCAGTGATGCAACCAAGCAGAGCTCAGGTGAACCGTGCCACCACACCATCGGCTTCTGCCCAATCCTCGCCCAAACATTTTCCTGAAGCCCCATAAGAAGAAGAGTTTGGATTTGATATCCCGCTTATCACTACCCGAGGAGTCTCAAAGCGGCTAACATTCTCCTTTCCCTTCCTTCCCCACAACAAACACTCTGTGAGGTGAGTGGGGCTAAGAGACTTCAGAGAAGTGTGACTGGCCCAAGGTCACCCAGCAGCTGCATGTGGAGGAGCGGAGACACAAACCTGGTTCCCTAGATTGCAAGACTACCACTCTTAACCACTATACCACACTGGCTCTTCCTTATTTGGCTACCTTATTTGGATCAGCATAGCTTGTAGACCCTCAAAATATTGGGATATACAGTGCTACCGCGGGTTAAGAACTTAATTCATTCCGGAGGTCCGTTCTTAACCTGAAACTGTTCTTAACCTGAAGCACCACTTTAGCTAATGGGGCATCCCATTGCCGCCACACCACTGGAGCACAATTTCTGTTCTCATCCTGAAGCAAAGTTCTTAACCAAGGTACTATTTCTGGGTTAGCGGAGTCTGTAACCTGAAGCATCTGTAACATGAGGTACCACTGTAATCCTCATCACACCTCACCACTAGCTGTGCTAGCTGAGGCTGATGGGAGTTAGAATCCAACAGCACAGCAGGAGGTTAGACCAGATCACTCTTGGGATCCCTTCCAACTCTACCATTCTATGATTTTAGAGGATCACAGGTTCTCCAATTCTGATTTAATGGCGTCATAAAGGCCATACTATGACCATTTCCCCCCCAGCTGGCTACAATAGGCAATGCTTTATCTACAAACCAGTAGACAGTGTTTTATATTTTATCCTGTTGGTTCTGTTTTCAGTGTTTCCACATAGCTTGAGGCCCTAAGAATGGATTTTTTAAAAAACAATAATCAAAATGACACACTTTACAAAACAAAATCCTCAGCACTCTACCAAACAGGTTAATTGGGACTACCTTTCATAATAAAAGCAAAAACCTTCTCTAGTGACAAAGGATGCTAAATGAATAGGCATTTCCCTTGAGAACACTCAGACTCCTTGCTTGCCTTTTAAGGTATAGAGTTAATTGATTCATTACTAAAATCTTGGCTCTGGGGGAAAGTAGGAGGGAGGAATCCTGCCTCCATTCCTGTTTTCAGAAAGAAGTTGCTAACATGTGTGCTTATGTTTCCACTGTTTTAGCTCTGAACATTTTAAGCTTGATGGCCATAAGCAATTTGGCACACATTAGACTTGCCATACGTCAGGAAAATGCCTGACATGTCCAGGTTTCCGGGTGTTAAAATGGCGTCAGGGGGGGGATTTTTGCCGACCTGGCAAAATGTCAGGGAAAACCTGGATGTAAAAGCAGAGGAAACAGCTCCAAAAGCTTGGAAATCACTATTTTGTGGGGAGGTTTCCCCAATAAAGCCCAACTATATTGGTTCAGAGGGACATGGGTGGTGCTGTGGGTTAAACCACAGAGCCTAGGACTTGCCGATCAGAAGGTTGGTGGTCTGAATCCCCGTGATGGGGTGAGCTCCCATTGCTCGGTCCATGCTCCTGCCAACCTAGCAGTGTGAAAGCACGTCAAAGTGCAAGTAGATAAATAGGAAGGAAGGTAAACGGCATTTCCATGTGCTGCTCTGGTTTGCCAGAAGCGGCTTAGTCATGCTGGCCACATGACCTGGAGCTGTCGCCGGCTCCTCAGCCAATAAAGCGCGATGAGCGCCGCACCCCCCGAGGTGGCCACGACTGGACCTAATGGTCAGGGGACCCTTTACCTATACCTTGATATTGGTTCAACCAAAGCTCAACAACAATTTTGCAAAAAGTAAACTTTCAAAAAAGTTTACTTTTTGAAATATGGCAGCCCTAGTAGCATACATAGAGACCACACCTGCAAAAACAAACAAACCCATGCTTATTCCATCACATAGTTGAATACGTAGAGACAATGTGGTGTAGCAGTTAGAGCATTGGGCTAGTACAGGGTTTCCCAAACTTGGTTCTCCAGTTGTTTTGGGACTACAGTTCCCATCATTCCTGACCACTGGTCCTGCTTGCTAGGGATGATGGGAGTTGTAGTCCAAAAACAGCTGGAGAACCAAGTTTGGGAAAGTCTGGTCTAGCATCTTGGAAGACCAGAGCTCACTGGGTGATCTTGGGCCAGTCACCATCTCTCAGCCTAACCTACCTCACAGGGTTATTGTGCAGGTAAAAATAGAGAGGGTGGGAAGGCTTGAGCTCCTCTGAGTCAAAGTTTGAAGGAGCTGGGGTTGGGGGAAATTTGTCCCCTGTTTGCCTTGTGGATTCATCCTGCCCCTCTTGCCCCGCTCCCACCTCTGCCTGTTTTGAGGTCACACACACAGGTGTGTGTGTGTGTGTGATGTTTGCGTGTGAATCTTCCTAAGTAATATAATGCACACCTGAATTATTATTAATTAAATTTGTATACCTCCCCATACCCACAGGTCTCTGGGCAGTTACAACATTGGGTTACATCCCATTGCTCGATATCACATATGCACTTGGGTTAGTGGCAAATTGGTGTGCTCAGGGCTTTACTTCAGATCTGATGCTACAACCCCTCTTAAACCTTGCAAAGTGCCCATCTTTGCTGAAGGATCAGCTTTTGGCTTATCCACTTTCATGGTGAGGCAAAATGGCTACCAAAGATAACAAACGGCTAGAAGTGGGATTCCCAATACAGTGGTACCTCGGGTTACATATGCTTCAGGTTACATACGCTTCAGGATACAGACTCTGCTAACCCAGATATAGTGCTTCAGGTTAAGAACTTTGCTTCAGAATGAGAACAGAAATTGTGCGGTAGCAGCAGGAGACCCCATTAGCCAAAGTGGTACCTCAGGTTAAGAACAGTTTTAGGTTAAGTACGGACCTCCAGAACGAATTAAGTACTTAACCCGAGGTACCACTGTAAAATGTTGCATTGTGGAGTTCTTCCCTTCAGGATTCCTGCAAATTCCCCCTCCCACCCATCTCATACCCCCTCAAGCCAGTTAGCACACCATAGCCATTGAGTAACTTAGTCCTCACTGGCCTATTTTTGGGGGTTCCAGCTTTGTAGGGTTTCTTTTCTTTTCTTTTTGTACTTACTTAATCCTTAGTGTTCCACCATTCCTGTGGATAATGCTTCCTTGTGCATGTGTTTCTATTTTGGCTACATAAACTCGTAGCCTGATCACCAGAAGCAGAGAGAATTAGGTAAAATCACATTTATAGAACTCGGTCTCTCTCCTCCAATCAGCTGCCACTTATCTGCTGGCATTCAGGCTGTCTGTTTACCCAGGTGTTTGTGGCTGCCTGGATTGTAAACCAGCTGACAAAATGGATTTCACTGCTGCTTTAATCTTTTGGTCGTTTGCGTTTTGACACATTATAGTCCCCAATTGCTTTTTGGAAAGCACATTGCATTTTCGATAGGCTGTAAGTCACTAGCAGAACTACGGCTGGGGAACTGGCGTCTCCAGTTAGAAGGATCTCGTGCATCCGTGCTGGTGGGGAAAACCCCTTGATGGAGATGATGGGGAGCAGGGGCGGAGGAAGGGGGTGCGGTAGGTGCGGGCTGCCCCGGGTTTCACCACTGAGGGGGGTGACAAAATGCCGGGTGGCACTCACTGCAGCGCTTGCAGCGTGTCTGAGCCACACGTCTCTCCTGGGAGTGACGCGGTGGCTTGTGTGTGCACAGACTCCACACTGCCCCAAACGGTCCGCCCGCTGCATTCCTCCCCCCCAGCTGTAGGGTGGCTGAGTGGGAGGAGGCAGGCAGACTCCAGAGGCCCCACAGTGCGCCCCACCTCTGGGCACGCCGCCCCAGGCACCTGAGCGGCTTCCTCTGCTGCTGACGGGGAGCCCTTGCCACTCAGAATACAGAGACCTGAGCTAGGACCATCGAAAGCTGCCTTATACTGCATCAGACCAATAGCCTGTCTAGTTCAATGTGTCCTACACTAGCAGGAAGTGGCTCTCTAGCATTGCAGATGGGGGTACTCTCAGGGGATAATCCCTATCTAGTGATGCCAGGGCTTGAACCTGGAATATTCTGCTTGCAAAGAAATGCTCTACCACTAGGGATGGCTGAATATGTTGATTTCAGTTTCTCATTTTTCCAGCCTTAACTTCCACATTTCCACATGTTTGCGATTTGAAAAACAAACTCATCATGAAAACTCGTCAACCTTTTAGTGCAAATTTCTCCTAACACTTTTGTACACAATTTCCCCTAACACACAACTTTTTTAACTTTTTTTGCATTACAGCTTCCCCTAATAAAATGCATTCTTCATATGCAACTTTCACTAATCCTTGCATTTCTGTGCACACTTTAACAATGCATGTGCATTTATTTATTTTTGCATGCGTCACTGAGTTGGAGAACAGCCCTACAAAATTTGGAAGAGTGCAAATATCAACGAATGGCGGCATTTTGGTTCGCATATTGCTTTGGCGAACGTAAATTAAGTTCACTTTTCAATGCAAACTGAATCTAACTTCTCTCCCACCTCAACTCACTAGTGAGCTATGATCTTCCACTAAGGTAGATTAAGGCAGCTCCGCATGCCCATACAAATATGCAGAAAAACACAGCTATTCATGGCATCCTGGTGCACAAAGAGACTTAAAGGTACAGTTTCTCCTCTGCACAAGTCAGAAGAAACAGATTCCCACCTCCCTGTGCCTACCTGCCACGAGGAGAAGAAAGAGGCTGGGCTGAGTAAATTTGGGTTGCTAGGGTGCCTTCCGCCCATGTACTCATCCGTGCAGATGTCGCAGCTCTTGGCATCTCGCCAGTCCCAGTAGGGGATGGTGAAGTTCTCGTTCCCAGTGAGCTTTTGGATCTCGTGTTCCCACATGAGCAGGAAAAGACGGTGCCACGGAAGGAACCCCGGAGCCTCGTGGGCAAAATCGATATCCCTCCACACATTGGTGCCTCCAAGGAGTGTGTCCCGAGAGACGTAATAGTGCATCCAGACAAAGAGGTCGTACACATTGATGTCTCGGAACATGGGCGTCGAACCATTGTTCATCTGGGCATACGTTCCGGTGGCGATGACAAAATCCCTGCTGGTGGTATGCTTGGCTAGGTTGAGGTAGGCAAGGAACTGGTTCTTTTCCCTGGTGCTGAGCTGGAAGATGTCATTCCTCACCCTCAGCTTCCTCTCTGTGCAATTGGGACCGGCAAAGTTGAACTTGCAGTCGGCACAGCTGAATCCCATGAAGTTGCCGGAGCATTGGCACGTCCGGTTGTAAAACACGGCGGGCCAGTCTTCCCGGTCGTCCACTCCGGAGAAGGGAAACTGAGGCCCGAGAGGGGCGTCTGAAAGTAGGATCTCGCGACAGGATCCCCTACCTGACAGCTCCCCACAAGGGGAACCATCGCCAGGCCAAATGGGACAGCATTCCTTGCTCAACAAGCTGTCGGCATTGGCGCATGCCCGAGGGAACTGGCCAGAACTGAAGGGCAGAATACCCAGGAAGATGCCAACGCTAAAAAGAGACATCTTCATTCAGCAGCAGAACTAGAGTCCAGTGGTTCAGGCAGCTGGCAAGGAACAAGCTTCTGTCCCTAGACTTTCAGAGCCCTGAGAAATTTTCCCGACATCTCTCCAGGACATCATCCAGTCTCACTTCCATCTATCCCCCTCCCCTCCCCTCAACTTTCTGTAATCTGATTATCACATGTCCTGGGCTCCGTCCAAAGAACTCTCACTCCCCTTCCCCCTTCGGCTCCAGTTAATATAGAGACTTTCTATGAGAATCTCATCTTCTGCCTAGCACATGATCGCTTTTGATGTACCAGCAGGGTGGAAGCCTTGGTCACACACAGGAACTTGGGTGCTTGGTATAATGTCTCATGGGGTTTCTGTGCAGAAGGAGGAGGATCAAGGGCTGGGTAAGGCTGGGAGCATGTAAGGAAATCCCACAGAGCTTGGCTCAACTGCTGAGCGAGCCCAGTGCAGCAAATCTGCAAATTGCTAAAGAAAACTGGTCTGGAATTCCTCAATCATGCCTTTTAGAGAAAGGCCTGATTTTGTACATTTTCCAGATAGAAGGAAATATGCATAAAACCATCTCGTAAAAAAGGAGGAGGAATAGAAGGCATAAATAGGGAACATTGACATTTTGGTTCTCCATTTGAATTTAGCTTGGTGGACAAAGGAGACCCTTTCATGAAAGACCATGCACTCCTGCATGAACTTGCTCTGAAGTTCAGCTCATCCTCTGAGGAGCTTCTCCAGATGCTTGTCCCTGCTGGAAATGCCAAGGGTGGCAACTGGAGAAAGAGCCATCTTGGTGCCCAAGCTGTAGAATGATCTCTCAATGAAGGCTTCCTAATGCCAATGCTTATGTATTTTAGACATAGGTGCCGGGCTGGGGGCTGGGGGCTCCAGCCCCCACAACATTCCCTATGAAGGGCACCCACAATTTTTTTAGCGCCAGAGCTGTGCATGCCATGTTGGCATGCAGGCCCACCAGTGTGCATGTCTGAGATCAGCCTGCCTGCTGATATGCGCATGTGATGTCAGCACACCGCAGGACATGCTGATGTCAGATGCACACACTGGCAGGCATGTTGATGATGATGATGATGATTTATTATTTATACCCAGCCCATCTAGCTGGGTTTCCCCAGCCACTCTGGGCAGCTTCCAACAAAACGTTAAAATACAAGCCAGCCTGCTTTTAGATGCCAGGCAAGGACTATCATAATAATCATCACTATCATACCTGCTTAACTGCTATTTTAACAAAGGCTTGTTCTGCATTAAAAATAAAAAGAGAAGTACTAAAACTTCTTTTAATTGTTAACATGTAGCAAATTAGTTCGCATCAAGAGTTAGGCTACTCCACCTCTTTTATTCCATTTTTAGAGGCACATTTAAGATGCTGTGATTTCTAGATTTATATACGCAGCCTCCCTACCTGTAGATGAGTTGTTCAGCTTGCATCCACTGGGATGAGGTTCAAGACCTATTATGGCTGCCTTCATGGACATAGCCAATGGGGGGGCAGAGAGGGGCAGCTGTCCCCCCTAAATCAATAAAAATTCTTAGCAAACTGAGGTTCTGCCTCCCCAACAAAAGGCTTGCTTCCCTAACAAAAATCCTGGCTTAGAAAGACAAGTCCAATATCTGGGTCTGCTTCTACCGCCTGCTGAGGTGCTGAAAAGCATCGCTCTCTGCTTTGGGGAATAGGGTGTCCCGGTGAAAATGAAGGCATGGTTCCTACACGTTCAATTGTTGTGAACAATTGAAGAGAGAATGTTGGCAGCCAGCTACCTCTGCTCCATTTCCAGAGCTGCAGGAGCACTGCCCCCACCATTCTATTCTTTTGCACCAAGCCTCCTGATTTATGGTACACCAATATAGGGATGCGGGTGGCGCTGTGGGTTAAACCACAGAGCCTAGGACTTGCCGATCAGAAGGTTGGTGGTTCGAATCCCCGCGACGGGGTGAGCTCCCATTGCTCGGTCCCTGCTCCTGCCAACCTAGCAGTTCGAAAGCACGTCAAAGTGCAAGTAGATAAATAGGTACCGCTCCGGCGGGAAGGTAAACGGCATTTCCGTGCGCTGCTCTGGTTCGCCAGAAGCGGCTTAGTCATGCTGGCCACATGATCTGGAAGCTGTACGCCGGCTCCCTCGGCCAATAAAGCGAGATGAGAGCCGCAACCCCAGAGTCGGCCACGACTGGACCTAATGGTCAGGGGTCCCTTTACCTTTACGTAATATAGGAGATCATTTGCAAAAGGTCCCATGGCTCAGATATGACAGAAAAGACCTGAGCGCTAAAGCATTCTCCAGACTGTGAACATTCTGCCTGAAAAATGTTGCCTTTCTGCAGGAATCAAGGGGCCATCATATGATGCTTCTGAGTAGCACGCGACTCCTTAATCCTCTTGGCTTCAGGAAACACAGACAGATTATCGCAGGGTCTTTGTGCCTGCTTCGAGCTCCCCAAACGAGGCTGCTCTCTCTCTCTCTTTCTCCCCCACAACATACACTTTAAAAAAGTTGACTCAAACCGCAATCACTCTTGCTGCACTATTTCAATTCTGCACGCTGGTTTAACCATTAGAAAACCTGAAGACCTTTGCCACTCATTGAATCCTGAACGTAAAGTGGAAGGAAAAACCAGAGGTTGCTCATTTGTGGGGAAATTACCCAGTCGGCTACTTGACAAAGGTCAAAATGTAGGACACAGTCTCACAACACAGGGAGACAGACAGATGCTCTGTGGCTTTTCAGGCTGCTCCAAAATTGTAGAAATGCAACTGTATGACATTTTTGCAGTCAAACCAACAATTCATGTTTGGCCAGACAGGCACATGAAGGGGCTGAGGCTCCCAGAACTTTCCTGAAAAATTTGCTAGAGAGAACTCTGTGAGGTCACTTCCTTTGTCTGCCTTGGCAAGAAGCTGTAACACTACATACTTCCTTCCCTCTCCTTCTTCATCATGCCTTCAAGCAGACCACACATGCATGCCTGAGCTCTGCAGCTCAGACACTATTTTTTAACTTGCATTTTGTACTTTTGTAACTTAGATAGTGGCCATAAACTTGCCTTCATTTTGCTACTGTAATCGCTGCTTCAAGACCTAGATTGTGTAAGTAAATGCTACTTTTACTTCTTCACAAAACACTGTGAGTGATTGTTGTTTTGAAGAGAAAAGGGGAGACTCCAGCTTGACAATATTTTTGTCCCTTCTCGACAAGTCAGCCCCTTTTCCATAGTCAACGCTGAAATCCATATGGTATTTAAAGGCATGTTTCAAGGTCCCTCCAAAGTTAAAGGCCCCCGCAACTCCGAGCTCCCCCCGGCCCAAAGCCAGACTTGGGTCAAAACATCCCTGCATAGGGGGGTGTAATGTGTATGGGTTGCTCGTGCGTAAGTTGCCGCCTCTCCAGGCTTTGTTGCCTTGCTAAACCTTTCAGTCTGGGCAGCCCTTCACTTCGTGGCTGCCTCAGTCGCTAGCAGAATCCGTCAGTGGGCGTTTCTTAAATCTTTTCCAACATAAAAGTTGTTTGACACCCAGTCTCCTCCTACGCTCTCTGCGCGGAAGTCTTCTGCCCAGGGTGGGCGTGGGTAGCAGGGGACCCGTGCTCTCCCCGCTGGTGTCCGGTGAAGAGTCCTGGAGCCCTCTCGCCGATTCCCCCCTCAGCCCCTCTTTATCCCTGGTGTTGCGCTGATTTGCTTCCCCATCTGCGGAGCTGCCTCTCTCCCTGCTGGGCCCTTCTCCAGCATCATTTGAGAGCCTTCCCTCCGCTTCTAGCTCCGATGTCAGTTCCCTGACAGGGGGTCTATCCAGCCCCCCATCTCCAAGCCAAACTGGACTCCATCTCTCCAAATCTGACTTTTTCCAGGTTCGTTTGTCGAATCCAACAACTCATATTCCTGCTGGGCCACAGTTCCCTCCATCTCTGCCTCCCGAGGTCCAGCAACAACCTCCTCCCTTATCTGATCTGTCAAAGCACATTCCTGGATTAATTCCTGAGTGGGTTCTATATAGGTACCCACTGCCTGTCCAAAATTTCCGATCGCAACAGTCATCAAATCCATCTTCTCATGTAACTGTTCCAATAAAGCACTTGTCTTGCAAAGGCAAGCACCAGAGCCTCCGAGTACATTCTTGTTCAAGGTCGAAGTCTGATCCCACGATCTTAATCTATTGCAGCTGCAAAGCTCCCCAGTTCGGTTTTAATAACAGTTTCACAAGCTCCTCTAGGGAAACAATTTCTATTTGTATCCATCTTTTTTTCTTTTTTTAAAGCAGATCTAGCAACAAAGTTTTCCTTTTTCAGATATTTTGTCAATATTTTGTTCCTTTTAAATGCGAAGGGGAACAATGGAATCAATATGTTTCTCTTCTTTTAACTATTTGTCAAAAACGTTTGTGCATAGTCAATGAACTTCCCGAGAACGTCTGTCCTGACACCCCGCTCCCAGGTTCAAGACGGTGGAAAATTGCCTTTCTTTACTCTCTCTTCTGCAGGTTTAAACAGTATAAAAAAGGTTCCCCCCTCTTCTCCTGCTTCCAAGGGGGGTTCAGTAATTTTAAATGATGAAAATTTAATCCTTTACAAACGACTTTCTAAACTCTAGCTTGCCGTGTCTTTGCTTCAATCTATCTACAAAAGCGGAAGGCGGACTTCCTGTTTAGACCTTCCCGCTTCAGTGCCAAATTAAAAAAAAAAAAAAATCTTAATCCAATTTTCCGTTCTACTCACGGGCAGTTGTTTAAAATCCAATTGTCCACAGGAAAAAGTCAGCGCTCTCTGGCAACAGCAATGCGGCTTCACTCCGTGAAAGAAGCAGTCGATTCAAAGCACCGCGCCACGCACCCCACGTCGCTCCAGATCCCCGAAACCGGGTCTCCCCGCGAGTACGGGGGGCGCAAAGGTGCCAGCCGAATCCCACGTCCACAGGCTTCTCCCGCCTGTGGTTTTTAGTGGGTCTCCGCCTCGCCGTGGCGGTTCAGACCCTGTTTTCCACGGAGCGGATTCCTCCCG